GTGGCCTGTGACTGGCTACAAAGGACACTTTAAACAGGAGACGTGTAAAGTGTGTGCTGTACGGGGCACAATTACCTTCCAGCTCAGAAGACCAGCAGGTCAGAGGTACTCAGGAGGAGTTCATACAGCAGCAATCATACAGAAATTAACTCACAATGGTCACATATGCAGAACTGCGATGACTTTTTTTTGTGGGAGGTAGTCATTATTTATCAGGTTCCAAGTGATGAAAGCGATCTTATTCAACAAAGTCCTCAATATGGGATCCCATTAACCAGCTCCAGCGCTGGTAGTAGTAGCTTATTTGAATAAGGCCTTGAGTTACTGAGCTCCACCCCTTGCCAAAATTCAGGGCTGACTTGGAACCACAGGGAAACAGCTTGTACCTTGTCAGATGACTTTTTAACACTGTAGTGCAAAGCATATTTCACCTGGTTTGTATCACACTTGCATCAGCTTTCCATTTTATACCTCTTCTGACAGCAACAAATTCATCTTACACAAATAGGAGAAAAGAGCCAGGCCCATACAGCACTCTCCTCAAGCTCCCTGATGCAAACATATGCAGGCACTTCTATACCATATCATTAGGACATAACCAATGTTAAGGTAGCCAAAAAACAATGTGTTGTTCTAAGCCTCATCTCAGGTACCAACAGGGAACTAAAACGAATGAATCTGATCTACAGTTTTAAGAACAGGTTCAATAGCGCAATCACCGTTAGCACAATCTGCCTTAGGGAATAGGAAGGGAACTTCTTATAAAGAATAAGGAAAAAAAACATTAGTTATAGGATACTACACATTGTTTCTGGGTTTTCTGTTTTTTCTATTGCAAATTAAATATTTTACATCCCTAGAAAATATTTTCTTTGATGAAAACCACTATAAATTGATTATTTCACCAAAATCAAACGACCTCATTTGCTTATATGCATATATGTACAAATTTCTGTCCTTTAAAAAAGATTAAAATCACATTAGTCAAATAGAGCCCTGTTTTTGCTCCCTGGTTTTGCATGTGGCTGTTTATAGAGATCACGTGTTTTTCTGTGTTCCTCATAAAGGTTTAAACTGTATTTTTCACTACACCATCCATAAAGATCCTTCGTGCTAACACTGCAAACGATGGGGGAAAAGAACCTCCTACAATCAAGTTGCAGTGCCGTTTTCGAGATATATCACTTTTCAACTCCATTCCTGTAGCTACAACACCTGAATAAAAAAAATTAAAGGCAGTACCAGTGAACAATGCTGTTCACTTCAAAGTTTAAAAGAATTAAAATTGCACTGATTCCTGAAATCAAAGAGGTGAATCCATAGGTAAATCCTTAGGCATCACTTCGGCTAGTTAACCTTACATGTCAATTAAATGCAAGACTAATTTATTCAATTCTCAGTCTAGTCTGACACAAAACCTATACTTCCCCTGATTCCTAATTAGCCAAATACTTGTCTTCTTTCATGCAGATAATTTCATAACCATTAGTGTAAAGCATTAACACATTTTCCTTTCAATCATATTTTCCTCCTGTTGACTGACACACCTTTTCTGGCGAGTGTACTTGTGCCAGTTTCATCTTTGTGGGAACTTGCCCCAAGGTCTTTAGTAAAGTTCCCTCCCATACACATAAAACAATGATATATAATCATGATGCTAGCTATGTGAATAGACATATGTATTACCTTAAAAAATATGAATGGAAAATTATGCACTGGAGGAATGTAGCAGTTTCCATTTGAGTGTATTTATGAAGCTAAATTGCATAGTATTTAACATACGGTAGAATGCAGCATGATTAACTCCTTGACAACGTGTTCAGGTGGTGCTTCTCATTAAAAAATTTAAGAATTTTTTGACAGACTAGACTTCTTACAGGATGCCTAATAATTATAGGAAAATTAATCAAAACTAAGAAATTCCTTTTGTGTACACACAAAACTTACTATATACAAGATCTGACCATGTATGCTGTATATGGCTCCAGCAAACCATACTCAGAATTTGTTTCTTAGTTCTACTTTGACTTACTATTTAGAAATGTTTTTTGAAATATGATTATGAGACTTTATACATAGAGCTAGTTCAAAAACATGGGAAAATGTCAGGAAACATGCATCCACATGAAAATATTAAAAGTTACAGCTAACTTTAAAATTCTTTCTAGTCTTTCTCTCACTGCATCTCTGTTGGTTTTCCTTCACAGTGATTGGAACCAACTATATCCTGTAGAGGTGTCAGGAAATGGAGGCACAAGGTCAGAGTTCTTCTCAAACTCTGCTGAATTCTCTGGGTAAAAAGCACGACCAAAAACAACCCAACAAAAAGGAAATCAGCTTCCTTGTATTAAACATCCATACTGCTCAACTTGATTCACACCACTTAGGAACAAGCGATTTACTTCATTTCCATGTGCAGAGCCATTTGCTGGGGCTTTGGATGCCATCTGTCCTTCAGAGGGAAGTTTAGCGTTCTTCTCATTCCCCGCTGCTCGTACAGTGGCTCCTGACACATGACAGAAGCAAGTCTGAATCGTGCAGACTCATGCACTGCATGATGAGAGCATAAAATATTTGTCACCCTCCGAATCACAAATGCGACTGTGGAATGTGGGGACATCTCTCTGGGGGGAGGCTCCCAGCCCTGCCTGCTCCAGCAACGCGCCGGGGGCTTTGCAGCACCATCGGATGCTGCGACGATTTGCTGCGCTGCTTTGCCAAAGATGCCTTATGACTCAATCAAGGCAGTGACTGCAGGTTTTACGGACATGACTTAGCCAGAGAAACTTACTAGCCTGTTACTCTACCTCTTGGGCAGGCTTTGTAGCCAGTGACAGTCCCCAGGCTGCTGGGACCGCACCAGTGCCCTGTTACCAGGGCAAGGTAAGAATGTCTACACAAGATACAGTGACAGCAGCTCAACACAAAGCTGGCCCATTGTAGGTGAAGGGCATCTTTACATACAGAAGCTCCAGCAGCTTATCTTAGAATCAGTGCAATTAAACTGGTACAAGCCAGTTTAATTAAACCAGATGCTCTCATGTGGGCTCAATAGAAAGTATCCTGGTTAGCTTGCATCTGAACATTTGCCAGTGCAAGCTAATCCACTTTTGAGAGGTCTAAACCCACATGTATGTTTCTTTTCAAATTTGCACTAGCTTAGCTAACTTATTACTAAAATGACAACTTCAGTCAAACCAGAACAAGTTTCACCAGGCTAATTATTTAGGCATTTTCAGAAATATTAATCTCTTTTACTAATCAGCTTGGTTTGCTGATTGTGGTGATGAGACTAGCCTGCCCTACCTTTGATTATAAAATGGTATTTTGGCAATCTGTGTACCAAGGACTAGTAAGGCTACAATGGATGTTTCCTTAATATATTACAAGGAGTACTGAGGAGCAACTTCCTTAATCAAGGACTTTTTTAGTTGAAAAACTTCAAGATTTGACCTAAGACAATTGAAAACCATTGTACCTGTGTATGTTTTCAACTTCTGATCCTGCTGCCACTGGTCTTTGCTGTGACCTGAGCTGCATGCAGCTGGTGTGAGGACAGAAGGCATCCTGCACTGCCAGCTGCAGAAGAATCATAGGATCATAGAATGGTTTGTGTTAGAAGGGACCTTTTAAGGTCAAGATCAACTGCCCTGCAATGAGCAGGGACATCTTCAACCAGAGCAGGTTTCTCAGAGCTCTGTCCAAACTGGCCTTGAAGGTTTCCAGGGATGGGGCATTTACCACCTCTCTGGGCAACCTCTGCCAGTGTTTCACCACACTCATCGTGAAAAAGGTCTTCCTTATGTCTAGCCTAAATCTACCCTCTTCTAGTTTAAAACTATTATCCCTTCTCCTATCGCAACAGGCCCTGCTAAAAAGTCTGTCCCCACCTCTCGTGTAATGCCCCTTGAAGTACTACTGGAAGTCTACGATAAGGTCTCCCCGGAGCCTTCTCTTCTTCAGGCTGAACAACCCCAAAATCTCTCAGCCTGTCTTCATAGGAGAGGTGTTCCAGCAAAATGGGAGCTCGGGCACTACTGCAGTGCTGACTTGCCATGTTTCACCTGAATTTCACAACTGTGCAGCAAAACCACACCAGATTACTTAATCTGTCGCACCAAAAGCGCACCATTGTCCCATAAGACCTTTAGCTGTTGTGGTTTTTACATGCTGCTTTACAACTCTCAAAATAAGGAAAGAATGAAGACACCAAGTCAGATCAAAACTAGCATTGTGCAACATAAGAAATAAAACCCAGATAGTTTAAACTTTCCCATTAGCATGTTTTTAAGTCCTTCAGGAAATTTTCAGTGCAATGCAGTGTTCAGATAGGTGGCCTTTTCTACTCACTTTGGTAGCCACCATCAATAACTGCTATGCAATTTACATTATCTTTGGGCGTTCTGGTAAAACACAAGAATAAAGAAAGGTAATGCAGCAAGAACTATTTTTACTAACATGGAAACTTATTGTCAAAGATTGTATTATCCCTTAGAAGTGATGTAATTTTTCTTTCCACAATTACAGAGTCTTTCAAGATACTTTCATTTCTTTCTCAATGAAGAAAGATGAGGGTGTTTGACCACTGATTATCATTTTAAGATGGTAAATCAGAAGCTATTCTAACTAAAAGTCATCAAGTAATGCACATGTGTTCTAAAACAGCCCACAAAATGCACCTGAAACAGCAAGAGTTACTTCAGCTTTTTTAAAAAAAAAAAAAAAATCAAAAAGAATTGGAAAAAGATTTGGAGAGAACAACATTCTGAGTATTGTCTTCCAGACACAAACAGGGGGGTTGTGGGTTTTTTTCCAAAGTTTTCTGTATTTCTGTTCTAATCATTTTTTCACCTACCCTCAACAAGCTTGCAAAGTTTCAACTGTTTTAGCAAAATCTATTGCTTCCAATGCCACCAAGCTGTCTTTATTCCTAGGACTATTCATTCTGAGAGAGGGCAAACTGCCCCTAATACTTGTTAATTAAATAAAGTGTTAATTACCATTATTAAAAGCATCCTTGTTGCTTTTGCAGGAAAAAGACATCTGCTGGTAAGGACCAGTGGATTTCCACAGTGCACTGGTTAACGCTGGCTGACAAGTGTCCATTTTGAGATCCATCTGATTTTCACTAGTCCTTGCTGCATCAGAATTTGCGATGTTCAGTCCATACACACCATCCTCATGAACGAGAGAAGAATCTGATCTGTTGAGACTGCTTAGAGAAACACACACTACAGCTTCATTTAAGTAGAATGTATTTTCGCTATGTAAGCTGTCCAATTGATTATGTCCCATTATCTGCAGAAGGGGAAAAAAAGACAGAGAAAAGCATTTTCACCTTTGTCCAGCACCAGAATCATAGAATCACAGAATTTCTTGAGTTGGAATGGACCTATAAAGATCACTGAGTCCAAGTATCTGCTCCTTGCAGGACTACCTAAAACTGATACTACGAGTATCATCCTGAAGAATCCTTTTACCAGGATACATAAAATTAACTGCCAGACAGAATGGGGATTTATAGCAAATAGTCACCTAATTTCCCAGAAGTTAACCTCAAAACATGTTCAGTTGGATGTGTGTTCAGGAATAAACAGCAATAACACAGTACATTTTGTTTTAGTTCCCCTCAAAGCACAGGAAAACTCAGTAATAATTGTGAAATAGCAAATAACAAAAGGCTGACACCTTAGATGCACTGAGCTCTGCAGACTCCTTTCAGGGGGAAGTTTTGCCCCACAGCTTGACAAGGTACCACTTCACATATGTAAATCTGTGTACACTGCAATCCAAAAAAAACACCCTACCTCAGGTAGACAGGTAATCATAGAGGACAGGACTGCAGCAGTCAAATTAGGGATAGCAAACAGCATTCAGCAAGCAGCCATGGCTCCCAGGGCCTGAAAATGCAACTCCTGCAAAGACCCCCTGCATGCAGGTGTTCATCAAGGCTGAGCTCACAAAAAAAGCAGGAGTAGCAGTGTGAGTTACTGCAATGTTTGGCCATCCAAAACTATCTAGGTTCAGTGTAACAGCAAAAACACCGGGAAGGAAGTACTGGCTGACTGGGAAGCACTCAGCCAGCTCTGCTGCTGCAAGGAGCATGGTAGTGGAAAATGCAGGGCAAAGACTATCCCAAGGCCTGGAAAGCATCCAAAGCCATGTAGTTTACTTGAAATAAAAATACAAGTGGTCTTACACATGAAATATTAGATTAGGAACTACTAGTCTTTAACACTCAGCATTTCATTATTTTGCCTCTCCGTCTGTGCAATCCTGGACACCCCTGCATCAGGCTATCATCCTTTCCAACTTCCTCTCCTCAAAAGATTTCAGAAGTCACATCCATTAAGGCTGATGGGCACGTTCAGTTTTGGTTTTATCATCCACTTCTTCAGCACTGCCAAGCAAGTCAAAATTGTACCACAAGCTATGCTAGTAAGAAGCACCTTCATAGTTTGGGCTTGGGCAAGCATATATGGGTAAGTCATGTTCACACAATGTTCACAAAAGCTGGATGAAAAGGGGGAGGTCAGAGGCCAATCCTTTGCCCCCTCATGCAGGCACAGGCTTAGATGCTGAATGGTCACTGCCTGTTATGGGTCAGTTGCCAGCTGAAAAACCAGGGAGGTGATGGCCTGAAGAAAGACTCTATAGATTTTCTTGTGAAATCGAAAACCTGAGGGAAAAAAAAGCTGTTTGGGTCAGTGAGCTTTGCAAAAGCCAGGCAAAATGTTTTGATTTTCAGGTGTTTTAGAGAACAGTAATGGAAATGGAAACCGTACCAACCAAGGCAGGTCTGGAGGCGAGGTCCCCCCAGGCAGGTAGGCGCCCAGACAGCTGAGTTCAGAGTCAGCCTCTAACCTTCACCCTCAACAAAAACGTAATCATTTTTAGTATTAAACGCTTAAGCAGCTTCAGAGCTACTTCAAATTGCATCTGCTAATAATGACCATCTCCAAGGAATTACACTGTCAAGGATGGAGCCACACACCAACCTCTTCCCTTAAGGGGCTGCTTGTTTCAGGAAGCAGGGCCTGACACATGGGGTTCATGGGAGCCTGGCGTTTACCACTCTTGGAGCAGCCACTGTTCCTCACTGGAGACAGTGCTCTTGTCCAAGAACAAGGACAGCAGCCAAAGACTTCACCAAAAGCTTTTTATGCCTCAAGTATTACAGTAATTTCACTTTCCTACAAGAGGTGGGAGACACAATGTATCTTGCAAATACAGCAGCAAAGCAGAATAAATGACAGATTCTCACACTCACAATTTCCATCTCCTCAATTTAATACCCATCGGTCTGAGCCTGGCTTCTGTAGGGCACCCAGCTTAAAATCACAGAATGGTTGAGATTGGAAGGGATGTCTGGAGGTCATCTGGTCCAACACCTCTGCTCAAGCAGGACCACGAAGAGCAAGTTTTCCAGGACCATATCCAGACAGCTTTTGAATAGCTCTGAGGATGGAGACTCCACAACCTCTCTGGGCAATCCGTGCCAGTGCTCGGTCACCCTCGCAGGAAAACACTGTTTCCTGATGTTCAGCGGGAACCTCCTGTGTTTCTGTTTGTGCCCATTGCCTCTGGTCCTGTTACTGGGCACCACTGAAAAGAGTCTGGCTCCATCATCTTTACACCCTCCATTTAGATATTTATATACATTAATAAGAACCCCCATGAGCCTTTTCTTCTCCAGGCTGAACAGTCTCAACTCTTCTTCATAGCAGAGATGCCTCAGTCCCACAAACATCTTTGTGGTCCTTCACTGGACTCCCATCCCCTACCTCCACCACCCCCCACACCGTAGCTCTATGACTTTTTTGTACTGAGGAGCCAGCACTGGACACAGTACTCCAGGTGTGGCCAAAGTAGAGGGGAAGAATTGCCTCCCTTGACCTACTAACAATATTTTGCCTAAAGCAGCATAGGAGACCATTAGCCTTCTTTGTGGCCATGATGCATTGTTTGCTTATGTTTAACTTAATGTCCACCAGGACCCACTGGTCCTTTTCTGCAAAGCTCCTTTCCAGCTGGGTGGCCTCCAGCATATATTGATGCATGGGGTTGTTCTTTTCCAGGGGCAGGACTTGGCACTTCCCCTGGTTAAACTTCATGAGGTTCAAAGCCCTTTGGATACGCCTGAACCTCAGCTTCCTATGTGCTCACTAATTACGTTACCAACCAACAAAACCCAGGCATACTAGCCTATTCGTCAAGGCAAGCCTCTCTAGGCCTGCAGTCGGGGACATAATTACGGTGGGGAACCACACACCTCATAGCTCCCTGTGGATGACAACAGGCTGCTTTGCTGACCATGCTTCCAGTGCCAGAGGAGCTGCTTCTGCATTTTCACACTGTCTCTTTCTCTCTCCACCATTTTCTGGCCCTCCTGGAGCCTCTCCAGGCTCTGCTGGTACTCCTGCAGCTGCAGCGCCAGTCCCTGGCGGCTCCTCTCCAGCAGCTCCTCCTGGCACCCGCACTCCCTCTCCCGCTGGCCCAGCCGGCCCTCCCTGGCCTCCTGCTCCCGCTGCCGCTGGTCGCATTCGCGCAGCCAGCGCTGCTGCTCTTGCTGAAACTGCTGCTTCAGTTTGTGTATGTTGGCCAGCTCCTCCCTTTGTTTTTCCAGATTCCGGTATTTCTCTTGTTCCAGAAGGAGGTTTAGCCGAGAACCATGGCCCCGACTGGTCTTCTCATTCTCTTGCAGGAGTAACCTTTGGAGCTCTCTGTGGCTGTCCTGGATAGCTAGTGCTGCCTAGACACCACAACAAAATCAGACACAAATGTTTAAAGATTAGCATTAATCCATTTCTGCATTTTTACAAGGAAGCATTATATAAAAATGCTTCAACCTCCCATAATATCAGCACTTAATGCTTTTTGGGAGGTTATTCTTCATGCAAGTGGAGAAAATTCGGTGTTCATGCCTTTACCAAGAGATGTTTCTAAAAGCACTCAACTATTTCGAGTACTTTTAACACAGCTTCTGGTTTACACTTAGTATTCATATATATTTACGTTACAATTGTGCATACGCACTTTAGTTACAGCTGGGGTCCTGTTCTGTCAGAGGATGTTAGGACAAATAGGAAAAAATATTTTTCATGGTTAAAGAGGGCATTAAAGCACTGGGAATGCTACACACAACGAGCTATTCCTAACACAGCTGTGGTTTATATAGATAATACTGTACTGTTTCCAGTACAGCCCACTCCAGCCCTACGGCTCTCCCTGCTAACCTGCAACAGCGCAGTCCTAGCAAGATCAGTCCTACAGGCACCTGCCAACATACCCACGTCAACAGGACCACACTGCTACATGCATCTGGCCGAGATACTTGTGCCGGCAGAAATTTGCAGTATAGTAATGAATTTGGTTTTGGTGTTTCAGTAGTTTATTTTACAACGAAGAGCGCTAGATTCTGTCCTTCACAAGGATGCCGTGACATTGTTTGCATTAAAGATTGTGACATCCTCCAGTAACACAAAAATAAACAGCTGGGATTAAGAAGAAAGAAAAGCAAGAAAGACCTAGATCTGCTGAGGCACTTACTGCACAGCCCATCTTCAAGAGCTGACATGGGAATCTACTTCAGCAGACATTCCCAGAGAATTCCCACAGCCCCGTTATCCCATGCCACCAACCCCAGAAAGAGTTTTTAACTTTATGCAATGTGCCATTCCCACTTTTCTTGGCTCTTCCTCCAGTATTGGGTCAGTTCCAGTGATCTGTAAACAGGGCAAGGACAGCATCCTCTGCTTGTTTCTCTGCACCTATGCTGCCAATTTACGGTCTGAATAATTAAGGCATGATCCCAAGCCTTACTTTAGCTCCCCTCTGGTGTTAAGCTATATGTTTTTCAATTCTTAAAAAAATTTGCTTGAATCACAAACTTTTTGTTTTGCTTTTACATTGCTTCAATCCACTTAGCTTCTAAGCCCAAGGTTTCCAGAATTATTATGAAATATGCTAATGTCAAGAGGTCTAAAAATTAAACATACTCAAATGAAACATGTTAAAATAAAACTATAAACCTGCACCTATATAAGAAAAAATAAATTAAAACATTCAAACTTGTCATGAAAGAGGCAAAAGCTTTAGACTAAGGTTCTACAGAACACACACAATAATTAATTGAGATTGAAATATCTCAAATGGGTTGAGTTTGCTACCCAAGTGGCAGAGGCACTGTTTACTAGTAGCCAGGAGAATATTCTAAACAAAATACTAGAATTTTTCGATATTTGGAACTGTAATTTCATAAATCTGTACATGAAATTACATCAGTTCAGTTAGAGACATCATTTTACTTTTTACTTTCCCCCTAAATTTTTCTACTGTGTACACATCTTTTTGTGGGGGTGGGAGGGGGGGGTGATCCCCAAGCAAGCAAACATTATTCAGTTCTTAAAAGAAACCTACCACTGATGTACAATAAAAATATATTACATGACTTATACAACTTATGCAACAGTTGTTACGAGGTAAATACCCACTGACATGATGTCTAAAAGTAGGGCAAGATGAAGACAAACCTTAAGAAGTAAATTATTACGACTAATTATTCTACAAAGTTATCAGTGGAGTAGTCACCTGTATGCTGTACAAGAGACGGGTTAAGTTCTGGATTGCTTGTATGACCTAGAAAATAAAGCAGAAGGATTTTCAAAGGTTTGACCACTGTTAACTAAATAGTTATTTAAACCCCAGACAGAACGTAGTAAACTCACCTCTGTCCCTGTAGATCGTGGGAAACTCATACTTCCTCCCTAAAATAAACACATCTTGCTTTAAAAGGTAGTTTTTAACTTTGTATCATCTTTTAACAATTGTAGTTAATTTTCTTTTTTTTAAACTAGTGGAGACATACGTATCGCTACAATTGTAGTTAATTTTCTTTTTTTTAAACTAGTGGAGACATACGTATCGCTAATGTATGCAGTGCTGAGTCAAACCTCTTTGTGGGCACATGAAAAAAGAGAGAAGCAATAACCTATGAAGACTAATAATTCACCAACACTGGAGTTTCCGTGGAAATCACTAGAGATTCTAAGCACAACTGTAAAAACAAAAATATTTCATCCACAATTTTAATCCTCTCATGACTAATGCTACACAGAAGAGACAACTCCATTCATTCTTTGTTTACTCGACAGTTTTCATATACAGTAACCAGACTTCTGTAAATACAGCACAGTGGGTTTAGGTTACTTATAGTAGGGTGAAACAGCACGAGACTCTTCAAAAACAGAGATATTAATGTAGCAAGAGGCTAGCAGGAGTCACACTAGCCAGTTACGGCGAGTTACAGCCCCAGGTGCGCTGCGAGGCGCTGAGCGAAGGCTGCGTGCCCGCTCTGTGCTGCAAAACGCACCAGCACGGCTACCGATTGTCCGCTGAGGCGAGACACTTCACGCTTCCCACCCTGCTCCCTTTTCCTAGGAAGCTTTCTGAATTTATGGGGTGAAGCTCCCCATAATCCCTTCAGCATGAAGAACAGCTCCTCTGAGAAAGCCGAGGTGAAACGGTGGGCAAACAGAACACAATCCCTTCTGAGGCTACAATGAAAAGACTTCCTGTGTGATTTTTTTTCTCATTCTTTTTTCAGAGGAGGATTTGAGGAATATTCGCTCTCTCTCTGATTCTCTACTGAGTCTCATTTTCCACCACAGAGAGCAAAGCAGCTGCTCCATTTAGCGGTGGTAACTGAAAATGAAGATGAAAAAGGCCCCACAACGCAGCTCAAAGCAGACAAGCCAGGGGGAAAGGGAGCACCAGCTGCAGCGTTTCCTCCACCCCTCCCTCCCTCTCTCACCATCCCCCTTCAGTATTTCCCCTCAACCCCTCTCCACATCTTCACGTCCTCCTCCGCTTCTCACCGCACCCATGAGCCACTTAACTGCTCGGTTCTGCTGTGAGAAGCTGAGGACGTTGCACGGATGCCTCTGTGCAGCCCAAGGACTGACACAAGGGAGCTCTGCTCCCCCCTTGCTAGGCTGCCAAAATGAGCAGTGGGCAAGGAGGAAGAGCAGAGCCAGGAGGGAGAGAGGAGAAGGAGACCCTGGCAGGGCGAGGAAGAGTGAGTGTACAAAGGCGAGCCCGCTTGCTGAACAAGAGTGAGGCTTCTTTCAGGTTTTTGAAGCCCTTTTTAATTTAGTAAAGGAGGTGTCCAGGGGGATTGAAGGCTTAGCTGGCTTTGCAATGGCCAAGGGGTAGCAGGTGGCCAGCCCAAGCACCTCTGGTCTCCTCCCTGCAGCACCACTTGAGTGCTGGGGGATGAGCCCAAGGCAGGTTTACCCAAGCTCACCAGGAGGACAGCTGTATTGCAGCTGCACCGCTACAGCTTCAGCACAAGCCCTGTAAGTCCGGGTAGTTCTGAAGTAGTATATTCAGCTGTTTAACCTGTGCTGCGGGCCACCATCACCTCCCTGACGCTCTGCCTTAGCACCTTGGTTCAGAGCAACGAGCGGCAGTGGAGATGAGGACGGTCCGAACCCTGGGCAGGCTGTGTGCACAGTGCCTCAGGCAACCCCCTCGAGATGCGATGACAAGGCAGGAGCAGGGGGGACAAGATGGGGACCACCTCCCACCGCTGCCTGCTGGAGAACCCACATGTTGCACAGGCAACGATCTTCCTTCTGATGCTTGGTCAGCATTTAACCCCCGAGCTGGAGACTGTCATTCCATCTGTCTAGCTCCTGGTTTCCCAGGCTAGCTGGTCTGGGCCTGGCGCTGCCACCCCACAACCCCAGGACTGCACAACCAGCCACCAAGGGCAGGCAGGAGAACATACTCCGCCCCTGGAAGCCCTTGTCTTGCCTCTTTTGTTTGCTCGTTCTGCCACCTCCTGGTTAAGTCTGATTCTGACATGTGACATGAGTCTTGCCCGAATAATAGGCCAGACCAGAATAGAGAGTTAGCGGGGAAGAGTTTGCTGCAGATCCCTGTAGTCCAGCTGCAGCTCAAAGCAGGGCTAGCTACAAAGACAGATGGGTTTCCTCAGGGCCTTCTCCAGCCAAATCCGGGAAACCTCCAAGGATGGAGAACCCACAGCCTCTCTGGATAACCTGATCAGGTTCCTGCTTGATCACCCTCATGGTGACTTTTTTTCCTTATATACAGTCAGAATTTCCCTTGCTGCAACTTGTAATCTTGAATGCTGATCCTTTTGCTGTGCACCTTTGAGAAAAGCCTGGCTCTGCGTTCTCTATAACCCCTATATATAGGGTTTCTCTATAACCGTTCTCTATAACAATGGCAATGTTTTCATGTGGAGCTACTGGACATTTTAATGGGCTATTTCCTGAGCCCCTCTATCCTCTGTTAGGTTATTTTATTTCCCCTCACCTAGCTTCTGTGCTCCCTCTCTTAGACTTTTGTTTTCCACACACACTCTTCTTCCTACTCCCTTCTAACACAGAAGTCTAGTAAGTAAGATGACTTAGAGCTGAACATGAGGAAAGGTTAGAGGGAGATTAATGTATTAGCAAGAATCTTCCAGAAATAACTAGAAAAAAACCCCAAGGTTTCAGGCACACAAGCCCTCCTTCAGATCTGATCCAAAGACATTATGCTAACACTAAGTATCTCCTTTTCTAGCAAACTTTGCCTTCCATTTCAAGCCAAGTATTTTCTACTCTTGTCTCTCCCTTTTATTCCTTTTGTTGTCCTGCTTCTCCACCTAAGGAATCCACAATTACAGTTCAGTTTATTTCCACACAGTAATTCATACTGCTCGTACTCTTACGCTCTGCTGCTACATTAAATTTGTCATTCCCAATTTTGCCTAGAACTGACTTTTGATTCTGCTTTTTCCCCAGATTTGCTTATGAGTTATAGGACTTTGAAAAATGGGCAGTTTCTCTTCTATTCTCTAATTGCTCCATTTTGTTTTAATTCAAAATTCTGAAGCAAGCTGGTGTAACACAATCCATCCTATTTTATCTGCTTGCTCTCAGGACAAAGTTCTTCCAATGCACAAGTCTTCCCTGCATTATCCAAGCATTGCAGAAGACTTTCATCATCCTGTGAACAGGAAGAGGGAGTAGAGGGAATACCATTGTCAGCTCCGTAGACATGGATGTATTGAATATGATGACAGCAGAGAACCAGGCTCTTAAGTGGCCCATAAAAGGGGTACAAAACATTATGGCTGTTATTGCAACCCATCGATCTGTAAGCTTTGCAGGAAAAATGTTAGGTGTTTGGCTTGTTTATAATTGCTTTTTTAAAATTCATTATTAATTGCAGTGACCTCTATTAAATGGAATTATTTGGATTTGAGTGAAATGTGCCTATGCCATGCTTTGCGTTTTGGAACTGTCTTTAGATACCCCATAAAAATTAGGGCAGCATTTACATTCCCGGTGCCCAGAGTGCTATGTGCAACACAGGAAGAAACATTGGTTACAATACCTTATCCTCTAGGCTGGCAGCTGCCATTTCCTTTTCAACACTGAGATCAACTTCAGATGATTCTTCAACTTCTTTTATTTCTGTATCTGACAAATAAATCACCCCAAAATGCAAGAGAAAGGTATCAAAGCACATTCTGACTAGAGAAACAAAGGGCACACTTTTACAGCTACTCACAGGATGCTGAAAATAGAGAATTATGGAATTTGAAGTTACATAATGGATTCTAGGCTGAGGAAAACAAATTTGGAAGTCTGGATGGCACAGGTGGGACAATTCAGTTTTCCTACCTTAAAAACTAGTAGTGTTTCACTTCTGAAAGTTTGGAGATAAGTATAGCCACATCACTAAAAACGCTCTGCAGCAATGTTTTTTACAGGACTTTATTTCCATTTTTGCTGCAAGAAATCCATGCTATACCTTTTACAGATTAAATTATTGGAATGTCAATCCTGGTTTTCAGGCCTTCCGACAAAAATCAACCGACTTCGGATAGAAGAATTCGGAAAACTGCAATACAGATCTGCTGTGGTGCTGGGCAACAACAACAAGAAAGCATATGGAGATATGCAAATCTGACTCAATACCGCTGAATGCAGGCATGTGCAACAGAAAAGGTGCAGTGGATGCAAGCCCTTCATCTACTTCAATGAAGTTATATGACAATTTACACTATCTGAGCATTTGCGCAAAGAAAACTTTTATTACATTATTTTCTATTTATTCTGCCATAGACTGAGCAAGCTTTCAAAAAAAAAAAAACAATCCAGTATCAATGATTTTAGCACTCTGAATATGTAAAAGCATCAAATTTTACTCACCACCAGGAACAGATTCCAAGATGTCACTGGCACTAAATCTGTGCCTCACGCTAAATTCCTCAATATTTTCCTCTGCTGATCTGTCTGTTTCACTCAATTGTGATGTCGTTACAGCAACATGGAGACTTTCAACTAGAGAGGAAAACATGCAGAATTAAAGAGGGCCCTTAAATAGCTCCCTAATGCACAAATCAATGACACAGAATCATAGAATAATTTAGGTTGTAAGGGACCTCAGGAGGTCATCTAGTCCAACTCCTGACCCAAAGCTGGTCAAACTAAACTTGGTTGCTCAGAGCTTTGCACAGACAAGCTTCTGACATCTCCAAAGATGGAGATTTCACAGCCTCTCTGGGCAACCTGTTCTGGTTTTTGACCACCCTCACGGTTCTTTTCATTAAATTGGTATTGCCTGTGTTCCAACTTGTGCCTGTTGCCTCTCGTCCTATCACCATGTGCCTCCATGAAAAATCTGGCTTTTTTGTATCCTCCTGTTAGGCAGCTGAGGACAGCACTGAGAGCCCACCAAGCCTTCTTCTCTCAAAGCTGAACAGACCAACTATCTCAGCCTCTCCTCAGACGTCATGTGCTCCAGCCCCCTAGTCCTCCTGATGCCTTTCACTGGATTTGCTCCAGTTTGTCAATGCCTCTCTTGCTCAGAGGAGACCAGCACTGGTCACAGAACTCCAGATCGGACTCACCAGGGATGAGTAGAGGGAGGATCACCTCCCTCAACCTGCTGGCAACTCTTCCTAATGCAGCAGCCTGGGGGGCAGTTGGCTGTCTTTTCCAAAAGGGTACATTGCTGCCTCATGGTCAACCTGCTGTCAAGTAGGACTCCCAGGTCTACTTCTGCAAAGCTATTTTTCTATCCAGTCAGTGTCCAGCCTGTACTGACACATGGGATTACTCCATCCCAGATGCAGAACTGTGCACTTGTCTTTGTAGAACTTCTAGGGGGTTTCTCTTAGCTCATTTTCACAATCTGCAGAAGTCTCTCCAGCACATTGATCACCCTGCCTCATTTGGTGACAGCCATTAATTTGTTAAGAGTGTACTCAATCCCTTAGCTAACTTCATTAATAAATATACTGAACAGTATTGGTCTTGGGATCCACCCCTAAGGGAACCTCCTAATAACATGCTGCCAGCTGGACACTGTATCACTGACCTACTGGATACTACAGCCAGTGCAGACAGTGTTGAAAGCGTTGCAGATGACAAGGTAAACAATATACACTGCTCTCCTCTCATCATAAAATCCATCAGGTTGGTCAGACACAATTTGCCCTTGATGAATCCATGCCAGCTGTTCCCAGTCACTTTCTTGTCCTTCATGTTCTTGGAAATGGCTTCCAGGAGGATTTGCTCTATCACTGTCTCATAGACAGTGGTGAGGCTGATTATTTTGTAGTTCCCTATACATTCCTTCTTGAAGAGGGGTGTGATGCTTGCTGCCCTCAAGTCGTCAGGAATCTCTCCTGATCACTGTGATCTTTCAAAGATGATAGAAAGTGGCGTCACAATGACATTGGCCAGCTCCCTGAGCAGCCTTGGATTTATCCTATCTCATCTCATTGGATTTGTGTATATCCTATTTGCTTAAGCACTTTCTAATTCTATCCTTCTCTACTGTGAGCAATGCTTTATTCCCATAGAGTCTGCTATTAGCAGTATAAGACTTAGTATTTCTGTTCTGGAAAATGATCCCCACAAATTGTCTACAGTGTAAGCAACTGTAAATTCCTTACAGTGTGCCGAAGAGTCATGAAATCCAAGACATGATCAACATGAGCATGAGAGAAAGTGAAAATTAGAAGTGGGCAGACTAAGATGTGTAAGTACAGGTTGCCATTTTAGCTAAAATGACGTTTACTATTGCATCACTGACTTACATTCCCTACCCAAGTTTTATCAATTTTATCAATAAAATACCCTCTGACTTCATAATGATGACAGAGACCAACCTTCACTGCTTTATCAGCTGAAATGTGGTTATTAGCCCACAGCTCTCCATCTAGGTGATGCTAAAATCTTGTAGTCCATCTCAAAGAGCATACAGCTCATGCTGGATATGGCTCCATTTACGAGGACTCTTTTCAGATGAGTTTAGCAGGAGTTCAGCTGAACATCCAGTTAGCCAAGGTATTCACAAATACCATTCCCTTCCTTCCTTAGGAGGAATGCACTGTAGATAGCACAAGGCTGTATCATCTCTATAGCAATTCTACGGCTCCTACAGCAATTCCGGCACGCATTCCTTGGCAGATCTGCCAAGATCAATGCAGTATGGTCTGTATATGACCCTATATGATTCTGATCTGTCATCAAATCAGCCAAGGTCAGTGAAGATCGGGGACTAGATGCAATATCACACTGCATCCTGTGATCTGCTTCACAGGGCTGCACTGCAAGGAGAAGAGCTAAGGAAACAATCCTCAGGTGCAACCCAAGACCATGTACCTGCCTGCTTACCTATGATGTTATGCACTAAACATACCCCTTATCTTGCAATCTGGCAGGTATCATCTCGTGCACCTGACAAGCATAACCTTGAGAGATTTCTGTTCAATGCCCTTTGCCAAGTTTCGACACTGCCAGTTCTTGAGACTTGACGGAATCACAGCACAAGGAAACACAGCTGTTCTTTGCTACCTTGAAGTATCTGCCCACATGAAGAACCACCAGTCCACTCTTCCCATGCAAACTCACCTTCTCTGAGTGCTGCTGCCAGCAATGAAGCAGCCTGTGGAGTTTCTCCAGAATCAGGTTTGATAAGAAGGTGAGGCTCCACATGAACATCCTCAAACCCACTCATATTTCCCAGCTCTGCATAGATATGCAGCTTCTCTTCCAAATAACTGCAGATCTGCTGGTCCTGGTTACTCAGTGATTCTGTCAACCAAAATTGAACACTGTAGTAGTATTTTTTATCCTGCAGGCAAAGCACATTCCCCATTCACCCTTCTAATCCTTACACCTGTCCTGGTTTCAGCCAGGATAGAGTTGATTTTCTTCACAGAAACTAGTGTGAGACTGTGTTTTGGATTTGGCATGAGAAAATGTTGATAACGTGCTGATATTCTGAGTTGTTGCTGAGCAGTCAGGGACAGCCCAGCTTCTGGGGCTGGCCTGCCAGCAAGAAGGCTGGGGGTGCACAGGAAGCTGGGAGGGGACACGGCCAGGACAGCTGACCCAGGCTGGCCAAAGAGATATTCCATACCATATGACGTCATGCCCCGTACATAAACTGGAGTTGGCCGGGGGGCAGGAATCACTGCTTGGGGACGGGCTGTCGATCACTGGGTGGTGAGCAATTGCTATATCGGGCATCACTTGTTCTTGTACATTCCTTTGTCGGTATTTTTATCACTGTTGTTTTCTTCTCTCTTGCTGTCCTATTAAACTGCTTTTATCTCAACCCATGAGTTCTTTCCCCAATTCTCTCTCCCGTCCAACTGTGGGGTCGGGGGAGTGAGCAAGCAGCTGCATTGTGCTTAGTTGCCTACTGGGGCTAAACCACAACATAGAAATTGCTAACTCAAGTTTGGATTTTTTTTAAATGTCCAGGAACCAAATTCATCCCATAGTCCATCTTAACGAAAGACCCATCAAGACCATATGATGAGGTGGCCTTGGCTGCACTCTGGGGCCCTCAGCTACCTCCCATTGCACTTTACAGTTATCAATGCTGGAAAAGCACTTGCCTCAGGCACCCAGAAGATGCACTGAGTCAGTGCCTCAACATCAAAGAAGAACACCTACTGTCAGTGGAGGATGTCCTTCCTTTGTGGCTCTCTACAGGAAGGACATTGGTGGAACTTCTCTCCTCGCAGAAGTATAAAGATGTGGAAGTCAGGTGCAGGGGAACCAAAGAAGTAGAATTTATCCCTATCAGCTACGTGTTCAGATAAAAATAATGGCATCAAAGGATGAAATGCCATAAACAAGCACAAAGCCACACAATTGCTAAAGATTTGAGGTATTTTCACGACCTGGGAACTATCTGGCCCTGATGCTAATCTGGGAAATTCAGTGTTTATTCTGAGAGCACCCATTTTTCTTTTACTTTTGTACCCATGGTAAAGTAGCAAAATTACCAAGTGTTTGGGAAGAAATGGTTCTCTTTCAATAAACTCACATTATACAATCAGTTTTCTCTGCTGTGACCCTGTCTATCGAGCCACTCTGAACCCATCAGCCAGTATGGGCACATTATTCATCCTGAACTCTCAGGCTGCAGGTGGTCTCAGAGTGGCAGGAAAGGTACCCCACCTTGACATTTCTGAATTCTGTATGCTTTGGCGTCAGCGATACGTCTGTCCTCATCAGACTCACTCATTTTTCCTTCTTCTTCTTCCTCTGGACAACTTCAAAAGATGAAAGACAAACAAAGGTGGATAAAGCAGTATCTGCATGTCACATACTCATCTTCAGTACAGTGTTGTGTTCATAATAAACAGAACACAACATCAACTAAGCATAAGCTTGGGCCCCATGAGGAGCAATGCTTTCCCTGCCATTCTTAAGGAGCTGACACCAAGATAACAGGCATGATTGGGGATTTCCCCCAGATGTTTGTATGGACGCCTGCAGGACTCTGGAAAGCATTCAGTGCCAAAGGCAGAGGCGAGAGAAGCTTACAATGGCTGGTAAGAACTTCTAATAGGGAGCAGGAAGGGTCTGCTGGTTCAGTGGGAAACCAGAATTAACATCAGAAGTTTGGCAGAAGTGATGGTGAGATTTTGGGGTCTGTGAATCCTGAGCTCAGAGGAAAACTCAGCCTCACAGAATGGATCCAACACAAGGCAGAATAAAGAGCACGCTGCCACGAATATCCCACCGATCTCCCGTCTGCTTTGGACTACCAGGATGAAAACCCAAAGTCTTTTCCTGTACCTTTCCACTGCATCTTGAATATGCCTCATCCAGTTGTTACGTTCCTCTTTGGAGTTGGTATGAACCTCATACATCTCAGGCCCTGCAGATGAAGCGCTAATCAGAAACATCCCCCTTTCTTCGTTGGCTACTTCTCTTACTATGAGCCTCTGAAGGGAGATTACAGAAGGCTTCTGGTCCTGGGGGAAACAGTCACAGCACATGCAAACAATAAATTACTCTCTTATAGAACACCACACTTTTAGAAAAGGACGATTTTTCAATAGGACTAATTCTAATCCTGGCACAGTCAGACTACATATGTTCTCACCAGGCATAAGAGCCTGCAAGTTTTCAGTATTCAGACATCTTTTTGAACTATTTCTTACAATACATTATAGTATTTATGAACAAGTAAAGCACTGGGTACGTGCTAAAAAGTAAATCCCAGAGACTCAATGATACTGAGGCACAGTGTTCATATAGTGTTTATATTTATATAGTTTGGGAACTTCTCTCTATGACCTTTCATACATTTTATGTGTGTTTACTACTACATTTGCAGTTAAAATTACTCTTCTGTTTTATTTTATAGAACCAGACGTTAAAATTAATTTTAGATAATTGAAACAGCCTGCTCTGCTTCCTGCCTTCATAATTAGATGAGGCATGACACTGAAATAAACATTGTTATTTTCATCTTTCTTCCTAAAATATTATTTAATTTTGAAGATAAATTTAATTTTCCATATACTGGAATATTACTGTTCTGAATACACTACCAGGATTTCAGGAAAAAAAGCATTATGTGGGAATAACCTAGAAAAGGACCTACTTTTTGAGAAATACACAAATAGAAGTGCAACGTGTATATTCAAGTATTTGATAATATACTTACAACAGCTGCAAAGATGTATTTTTGATCTTTTTCTTGTAAGAACAGTAGCAGATCGGTTAGAAGCAGAGCTAAGGTGTCTTAAAATGAGAAAAGGAAAATAATGTTTTTTAATTAAAGTTATTACAATTACAGTTAATTTCTTCTTTTATCTTTGGAACGCGAGAGCCCTGATGAATAAATATCCCACAGAATCCTACAGTAAACTAAATAGGAAATATCTGGATTAGCCTATGGTCTGCATGAAGTAACTGCAAGCCATCACTTTGCATGTCCCTGGAAAGACCACACTTTCTGCTGTCCACCCTCCTGCTGGAGCACTGGCCCAGGGGAAGAAGAAATCCTTGCTCAGTACAGCTTCCCCAGGCCACTCACAGGCAACCTGGCAAAGACTATCCCACATAAATTTTGTGTTGCCTGTGCTGTGGCATATACTTACAGCACAGCATTACACTGGTAAAAGTATTTCTGGAATAACGATGAACAGATAGCTTTAAGATAGCTTTTTTTTTACAGAAAGCTGTACAACAAATATTAGTAAGCTCCAAAAAAACCCCAAACCCTACATGTGATTAACATAAAAAAATCAAATTCTGAGCTTGCATGTGAAAATTGGGATACAGCCAAATGTGGCTTCAGGTTTTCTTTTCCACTGCAGATGCCCCAGCACCACTAAAGAACAGCACGTGATTTTTCATGCATTATTTTCAGTGGCCAGTACTGTGAACAATATAAATGTACAAGTCAAAACTCTGTGTTACGGGATGAAATTGCAAACCAGAGAACTAACAGGAGGGTACTGGAAGAAGAAATGCAGCTGATGGCTCTGTACGTGAACTTGCCTTCTTACCCAGATGTACAGTGGATTAATAACAAACGATGGCAGCGTCTGGAACTACTCTTCTAGCAATTAGTGGCATATTCTCAATACCATTACCTTAGAAATTCATCTTTGAAATACAGCATAATAAAGTATTTTTATTCTTAAAGCAAAAAATCTTCATATGTTATTTGCAAATAAAGAATTAAAGGACTTTACCGCTCCGATGGAATACCTTTGAATCGACCAGTCGCTGTCTTCCAGTACACTAAACCTTCATGAAGAAGTATTCTCTCTTTTCTTATCAAGTCTTGCTTCCTAAAAACATGGCCATTTTTCAGCTTTGTGTATGTTTTGTTTTCAGTTCTGCTGAGAATTTCCAGCAGTTTTTGCTTTTTCTCATATTCATTCACTTTCAAATCTACTGCTGCAATCATGTCCTTGATTAGGCGAAGGGCTTTGCAGAGGTCTTTATGTTCTTCTGTTCCTTCTGTATGAAACAAAAAATAAACAACATGATGGTAGTCATCATATTCAAGAGAAGATATCATTCCTTTCTTTCTGGAAACAATCAACATGGTGCAAAAGCTTCAATTGATAAATATGTCATTTTAAGTTGAACCTGGCAGTCAATTTACTGGAAATATTTGAGGCATCTACCTTTGTTTTATTTGCCTATTAAAAGATGACATGTACCTCAGATTTATTCATTAGTCAAAACAACATGTTGCATAGTTTCTGACATATTTATGAATGCTTAGCATTTTAAAAAAATTACTGGCTAAGTAAATCATATAGTATATTACTCTTCTGGGTAGGTAAAAAAAACAAACCCTTGAAACAGGATTGCAAACACAAAGGGTTTGCATTTGGATATGCAGCTTTCTACAACACTCATTTATTGCCCATTTGGGGAGCAATGTATGTAAGTTATTAGTATTTCTAAAATGTTCTAAGGAATTCCAGAGGTCATTCAAGCTTTGTTTGAAAAACTGGAGAGTAATTTACGAAATGTTTGCCTAGCCCTACTTACAAAAGACTCCACTAGAATTAATTTCAAAAAAGGTGCAGATGCATGCCTGAATTAGTTCACATCCTCTAGTCAAGATCTTTTCCTAAAAGAAGCATGCTCTTCTGGACTTCTATGGCTTAGCCAGCTGGAATACTGCAAATCGTCACAGCCCACCCTTGACAAAGACTACATACACCGGACACCCTGCTTAGGAGACATTTGTCTGAACAGTAGATATTTATGTTGCCCTGGTTCATTACAGAGCAGTGAATTTCACCTTTCATTATGCTGTAGCAGTACATATCCCTTACGTTAGAAACACACTAGGGTTCCAGACATGAAGCAACACCTCAGCTTTCATTCACCTTTTGAGTACTGCAATATCCTTTCAACCAGAACAGGGTATTTGGTGATTCGCTGGGTGACGAGCAAAATGCACTCAGGGATTCCTCGGCGTCGTGCCAGCAGGTTACTATTTCTCAGCTGCACAGATACAAATATATACCTTAAGTAGTAAATGGATATTAAACCACCGATTGACTAATACAAAATAATATATAAATGCATTAGAATAAGCTAAAACAAAACGCTGGGTTATCTGAACCATCCCCATGGAACAATTGCTGCCCTGAGGGATGAGGTGTACTATAACAGCAACATGTGTGTAATACACTATGGATGCCAAAGCTTTCTAAAATTTGAAAGAAAAATGTAATTTATCAGCTCATTGGTTAAGAAGAAAAAAACTTTGCCATTTTTATTAGCTATTAAAAGTGAGTTACTGAATATAATTTCAATCCTAAATCTAAGTAAAAGCTATGTATCTTTTTGCTGATCGTTTTGTCAATAGTGATCACATTGCCCCGTAAACTTACTTTAATAAAATTCTGGAACTTCTTGTTTTGTTGCAACTCTTTGAAGAGATTAACAGCTTCTTTTTGATGGCTGCAAAACTCTCCGTATATTTTCTTCATTTTAGTTGCATTTTCCTCTGAAAACTGAAGAAATTAGTAAGTGAATTGTGCTCAATGTTGCGCCTAACAGGAAAGCATACAACTTCAATTAATGTATTTTGTACAAATACGTAACTTTTATGCTACTTCTTTCTCAAGTTCTCTGAATTTCACTAGCATGGCCTGTCACTACAGAATGAAAACAGGCTAGCTGGTTTTAGGAGCAAGAAGAGCAAAGTAGGCTGGAGAGAGCACAAGCAGCCTCCACTACAGTCTTGCCAGTAATAGTTACAATTACTGTAACGGTGTTTCCGTCACCTCTTTGCAAACACAATCCCTTTGAGGCTTATTTGCATTTGTCTGATCTCCACGCTGCTTCTAGACAAGGTAACGGTTCAGCTTCTTTATTTCAGTGGTGTGGACACTGACTGACTGAAGGTGAAAAGCCACATTCTCTTGATTGCAAGGAACTAACGTGTGACCAGCAAGCAGTTAGTTAACTGTCCTAGGCCACCATAAACATGCTGTGACTACCCCTTCTCTAGTGAGCAGCAAGTCGAGATGCACTGGGACAGATTGCTACAAGAAATGAACAGGTAATTTCCATCATCAGTCAATTCTTCACACCTCGGCTCAGCTATTAAAAAAGTGAATCCATTGCTTCCGTTTTTTGCAGCCCGTGGTATGATGGCAGCAGCCTTCTGCTGTGAACAAGACAAAATTCACCACTTCTCTCACCACTTGTACCATGTAGGCAGAAGTTCATCCCAGGTTCACACAGTTACCTGTCAGTAATGATTTCCTCTCATTGCTATTTCACCCTGCAGTAATCTGGAGGGGACAGTCTTTGAATTTTATGAGGCAACCATAGCCCTCTTCTTGCCCACAAATTTTTAAAGTCAATAAATGATTTAATCTGGGAACCTTGCGTATGTAAAGGATTAACACAGCTGATGCCTCTACCTGCTGCACAAGGATGTCTCCAATTCTGCTGATGACAAAATTACGTTCATTCCCTGCCTCACATGATTCCTGCCGTCTCTCCTTCATTCTGCAAAAGAATTGCCTGTGCATCTCCCGTAGCTCATCTAAGCAGGGGAATATTCTGTCCACTGTGCTGTGGTCCAGCTGCAGTTCTTCTTTCATCCCCTTCCTGAATATTTCAGACATAATGAACAGGGTATGGATGTGATGCACTTCTGTTTGCATCAGCTCTGCAAGTATAAAAAAAACCAGCATAGTATAGTAATCACCAGAACATTTTGCACACCTTCTAAGATAGACTTAGCAACATTCAAATATACAGTCATAATCATTCTTTTCTGTGTGAGCCTCATGCAGGAAGACTTAATTTATCTGTCTCTGGCATGGTTCTCTCAACTGTATTGCACTGAACAAGCTGGGGTTGCAACTGCTTGTGCTGGGGACTGGATGAGGTCCCTTTCAACCTCAACGATTCTGCAAAAAGGGTAGTCATGTCTCTGGTAGTCACTACTCTCCATTTCCTTAGCTTTAGGACACATCATAATTTGTGACAAAAATGTTCTTTGAACCTTCTTATTATTCCGGACATAAAACGTATAGGTTCCCTCTCTCTTTTCTACACCAGATTGTTTTTAAACCTATACAAAGCTTTGAAATACTGACCGAAAATGACATCCTGCCTCCTGATGACATCCTTTTCTTGCTTGCTACAGAACACTGGATCCACAACAAGACTCCAGGACTCTGCCTCAAACTCTTGTGCATCTGTGCGGAGATCAGTCCACTGAGACAAATCCACATCATCTACAACAAAACGCGTACCTCATTAACACCAGCATATGAACAGTAAGGGGAGTCCCTTTGCACCTGCAGATCTATTCACATAATAAGGGGAACACATCACAGGGATGACCTTTGGAGAAGGTTTCTGCAAACATTGGCAGTGGCTTTACAGAGAAGTTTGCCAGGTGTCAGTATTATTACCAAAGTGTTGAAATGCAAATGTGACAGCGAGGGAGAACAAAAAACCCCACCTTTCTTTTCTCAGATTAAATCCTTTTTATACTTGCTTGGCAAAGTTTTTAAAATTTAAAAATAAAACCCAACATTTTCAAAACTAGTTTTGGTGGTGGAGAGGCACTGGCCATTTTGCAGATGTCCAGTGAGAGATATCTGCACCATTCTTTGTGAGCAAATGCCCTTCAGCTTTGAAATTCAGTCTCACACGTAGCTGTAGAAAAAGCCTATTTCTATTCACTTCACAAGGATAATGTAGCCATTGTAGGAGGGCAGTTCACCAGTGAGAGGTAAGATTTTGGGGCTACTGAGGAAATAAGTGATGTAGGTTTACATTTTGCAATGTAGACTGTCAATGGAGATGATTAGATGAGTGCAGAAGAAAAGTATATTGCTGTTCTGGTTCTGCAAGCATGTGAAATACATTTATCCCAGTTATTTTCAAATGGTAACACCACACAAAAATATTCTAAAAGTTATCAAAGAGTTAGTTACAAGGAAGAAAGGAAAAGTTGTATTTTAAGATTAATGCATCTGATCATACCATTTTAATGAGGGACACAATTGTAATTATCAAAAATACGTGCTTTCTTTTAGCAGATGAAGTGGCTTCCTGTGTCAACTAAGGAGTTTTTCTATTTTGCACTTTCCAATACAGGTTTGTAAAATGTGCAGTACTTCTCACCTTCCATCATAAAATGATCCATCGAAGAAAAGGTCCCTAATGCTTGTAACATCTCTTCAGACCGTGACTTGGACCTCCAGGTGCTGGTCTCGGAGTCTTGTTCAGAAAATGGTGCAGACCTCCTATAGCAGGAAAAAAAAAAAAAATCCCACATTTTTTTAATGGTTTCAATTTTCCTAGAAAGGTTGAATGATGTGTTTAGGATAGTTCCCTGGCAGCTGCCTTCTACCTTTCAAAACTGGCACTGGGGACACTTTTGGACAAGAAGTGGGACTGTTGTGAGGCTTCCCTCCTTCCAGCAGACAGTCCGATAGGCAGAGAGGAAGAAGAATGCACTGGGGAGAGCACTGTCTGTGAAACATCTCCAGGCAGGGAATCTGTGAGGCAAACCACAACGCAAAATTCTGACAAACAATGTAGAGTATGTCATCGACAGCACAGTTATATTGTGAAATGCTATCTCGTGTTCATATAGACCTACACTGGGTATCAAGAATGTCCGCTTGCCATGGTACAAGACTGTGATGCTGTCCCACGGAATATAAAGATAAGCCTGTAGGCAAAGAAGAATATCTCCAGTGTGAACATTACTGGTAGGAAAACAACCTCAAATCATACATGCTCTAGCATTGCAACCTGAATGCAGGAGACCCAGATATTTGTGCATACGACCAAAAGCACAAGACAGAACTGACTACTTTTGATATTCACTTTCACTGAAAACAAAACATAGTAATACTCCCACTTATTTTAGCAGAGAAGGAGTTAATTCAAGAGCCATTTCTTTAAAAAATCCTACTCATATCAGAGACACACACACTTTCTTACAGATACTTAAATGAGAAACACACAAATGATGTAGTAAAGTTCATATTGTCAGTCCCAGGATTTTTAACCACGGGTTAACTTAGAAGTGCTAGGTTTACTCTTCTTAACTTACTTGTTACACCTGCTTGGGGTTTGTTTTTATTATGGTATCTCTCCTGGGATTTCTGAAAAAAGAAGAATTTTTTGAAATTGCAATGAAAACATAGCTGGTAACAGACTAAATAGTCAAGTAGTAACTCACTGCCGCGTATCATCACACAATGGGCTTCAAGAAAATGGTCCTAAATTATGGTCCTAATTTCTACCTATAACCAATAAATCCAAGTTTATTACTTAACAGTAGATAACTATATCCAGAGTAGAATGGTATTATTTGTACTACTACTGAATCTCTTTATTTGAAACCAAGTCACTGAGAGCATTCTACTTTCTCCATATGACTACTGCCTGTGAAGGCTGCAAGAAAAGGCATTCACATTCAGGGCTTTATAGTCAAATAAACTTGAAGCACTTGTGGCAGGGCACTACCTGAGGAAGCCTGGGTATCACACGCAGAATCAATCCCCCTTCTAAACTGCACTTTTGCAAAACCTGTAGCAAAAGCCTGCTGTGCTTAAGCATGTATTTCACTTGAGATGGGTCAGTGAACGTTTTCTGCACCTCATTCTTCTTGAGAGGAGCCAAAGGTGGTAGGGGCTCTTGTGTCCTCTTGATAGAAAACCCACCAGTCCCAGTAAATAAAGGTACCACTTCAGCTGTCCTAATGCCCTAAAGTTGCCCAGAAATTTGTGCAAGGCTATAATGCAACAACTATAACCAAAATAAATAAAAACACCTGATTTATGTCCAGTCTAAGGCTTGTTTACCCTGAAGAGTCTCTGTGGAAACATGTTGTCCCTGCAAGTCACCATAATGCAAAACTCAGCTACATCAGTAAAACACACTCCACTAATTTGAAAAAAGACCTGTATTGCTGCAGTACACTCCTCTGCAAGTCCCATTTTATTCCATGAGGGCAGAAACCTTACACAACTATTTTTGATAGTGACTTTTTTGTCATGATAACCTCACCATGCCTGTGTTCCTACCTACAAGGAGATAGTATCCATCAACTATAGCGCTGATTTTGCCCTGCAGTGGCAGCTGAGCACTGGGAGTGACTGCCTCGGCAGGCTGTGGAGTCTATTCCTCCAGAGACTTTCCAGAAGACATCAGACAAACATCTGCCCAAATTGTTACCTAGATGTCAGCCTGCCTGAGGGTAAGGAGATGGACTAGGTCGCCTCCCTAAGCCCCTTCCATATCTGCTTTCCATTATTCCAAACACAGGAGATCCTCCTTCCTACACGAGGGGATATCTGTGGTTTTGAGGAGCGTTTCCTTTTAAGCCCTTTCTGTATCCCTCCAGACACACTATTTTATAATTTGACCTTGCAACTCTTCAAAAACAGAAATATTTCTTTACACTTATTTTTGACCCCCTTCTAAAAACTGTTGTTCAAGCACAGTGCTTGCTCTGCTGCTCACATTAGATGTTTTGACAGCCTTGCAGCCCCTTGCACACAGGCACTGGGTCTGGGCCGGCTGTGTGTACTTTCTTTTTTCCTTCGTGACATTTCTAGACCCCTTGGAAAGCAGGCATGCTGTAGTAAGAACAGTGCAGTATAGGAAGTTACCTTGGTGCACAGAGGAGCAGACTCCTTGCAGCTTTTATGCACAATCACGTTGCAATCTGAAACAGAAGGTGCATTTCAAAGACTGGCACCCAACAGGGTCCCCACAGAAAATGCTACTCTGAGGCTTCACATTTTTCCCTCCTCCATGTCCACTTACTAACGTGGCCCTTAGATGCTTTGATGTTCCAGCCCCCGGCTAGGAAAGTGTCTTTGCCTATCGTGCTGGGGCTAGGAGATGGTCCCTCCTGAAGCTGTCACCCGCCGTCCTTCCTCCCTGCCTTGCCAACCTCGGCTCGTTACATAAACCAGGTACATCCAAATCTAGGCAAGGTTTCTTCTTGAAACAAAACACTGAACCAGGATCCCAAAGCAGGATTCGGAATACTGTAAGGTCACACGTGAAAACCAGCAACTACTTACGGGAGCACTGCAGTGACTCCTTTCCTAGGAGGGCCTTTTCACAGGTCATACATGGGACAACTCCCGAGAAGGTCCCGTTCATAAAATTGTGCCTGCTCAGCTTCTCTTTATCTTTGGTATCTTTATTTTTTGTCTTCATGCCCAACAGCAGAGGCAGGAAAAAAAGTAAAAAAAGGGACATTAGAAAGGAAGATAAATTAATTCAGTCTTAAGAACACTAAAACAATCCCTTTGAAGAGCAAAATATTCTAAAACATTCATTCCCTAGAAGACTTGTAACCGTACACTGTATTATTACATTCAAGATTGCTGAAGTCCTAAAATGATGCAGGCATTGCTTTCACTGGCAGCTAATCAGGCAAGCATTATCAAGGAAGACTGGCAGAAATACATTCATAAAGCTGCAAAAAGGAAAGGGCTGGGGGGAGCGGGGGAAAAAAAAAAAAGTATCTACAAACTGTCATTGACTTGCTGCACATACAAACAAATATCAGTGTCTACACCTCCCTAAGGCATACATGCAAACTCGTGCCTCTGCAGTTAAACCTGCAGTTATATAAATTTAGACGATTTGTCTTTAGATCTTAAAAGACATGAGAAATAACCTATTTTTAATGAGTGTTAATGAATTTAATCAATTCTGCCTATTTTTACAGTACGCTGCTTGGTGCGAGTATACTTTTCCCCGAGCAGCCCTGATATTTATTCTTTAGGAGACAGGCTTATGTATGGCTGATGGGCAGGACATACGTGTTTGCAGCCAGTTCTGTCACTTGTGAAGATACTGCCTCAGCCAACCATCCTCACATCTAGGTACGTTCGGATATCCTGGAGCACTGGAAGGCATACTAGAAAGCCTACAAAACTGCCAGAAGGCCAACCGGAAAGATCCTGTAGGCCAAACCCATCTCTCAAGCTGCTAATTGATGCTGTTAATCTAAATTTCAGATGTCTCAAAATTAAACACATATCATAGTATGCATGTTTGACTGTGCAGGCCTCAAGTCTGCAAGTCTTTAACACTAAGCAGTACTTACTCATGCAAGAAGTCCCATTAACTTCAAATAAGGCAAATTCAACTGATTACATGCCAACGTAGAAGTCACAGACTCACGTACTTATTGAGAGTAATTGCAAGAACAGGCCCATACTTCTTAATTTTATGTAACAAAGAAAATTATTTCTTAAAGACAATTCATCCATATAAACTTTGGCTAAATCTTCAAATGACATTATTAATAACATCACAAAAATGACAAGGGAAATACTTTATATTGTTCAGCAAAGGCTACTGTTGAAAAGGAAAGCTGTTTTCTAATATGAAGGCTATTTCAGGGTACCCTGCATACGTTTTAAAATTGAAAAATAAAGATAAAAGTTTCTTCCTATTACTTAAATGGTTTTGTAACAAACAACAACTTACCTTTACATAAAAATTTAGATTCTCATCTGTAATTCATTTAATTACAGTGACATAATTACACGTAATAATACAGACATAAACCCCAAATTACCTTGCTCTTATTCCGTGTGCTGGTCATTCTGTTCATCAGAAAGCTGAAAGTCCGACTCACTTTACATTTTTCAGACTCGTTTTTTGAGGGTACAATGTATTTATTCCATTCCTCCTCCTGAATCCTAAAACAGAGACCAGTGAAAAAACCCTCATTCCAGTGGCAACAGTCCCTTAAAACAGAGCAGAATCTGGACTTTTGCTTGTTTCACCTAACACTTACAATTACATTTTATTACGAGCTTAGTCGGTGTTATTAAAAAGACTGCAACCCCTCTTTGTAGAAAGGAGTAACAGGGGCCCAAGGAGCGCTCTGAACCTGCAACGTGTTACAAGCTTGCCCAGCTCACGGTCGGTATCAAAAGCCTCCCTGCTTTCACTACGGTGTTTTTGGACCTCCCTCCAGTGGAGAGGAGCTCCCGTCGCGAGCAGGGGCACATCCCTACCGTGCAGCTCCCACAGCGGTGCCCAGCGCATCTCCGCCGCGGGAGGTGCGCGGTGAGGACGGCACGGAGAGCGCCGGGCTGAGCTCAGCACGGGGTTTAGGCATGGCCTTACAGACCCCCTGGGCAGGCAGCACTCCCCGAAACTGCTGCTAAAAACCCCGCTGCGAGGGGTGGCAAGGCTTCTTCCCCGCTCAGCTCCCTAGATGGCATTCTTGCACAGACCTGCTGCCGGCGCCGCAGAACGCGGGTGCGACAAGTACCCGTACCTTTTCTCTCGGGACTGCTCGGGCAGGCTGTACGCTCGCTCTGCAAGACATAAACAGTGTTCGGGCACTCAGACTGCAAGGTCGTCAGGTTTATTTGAAACGCACGACCTCCATCGGGCCGTTAAGCTTGTCATTAAGGGCTTGCAATGTCATTTCAAAGTTAGGAAAGCACACACATTAGAAGCAGCATTCATGAGGGTAAGACCGCTGCCTGCTAAGCTTTGTTTAGTTGACAGAATCTGCCAGAACTGAGATGGATACCAGTGAATGCCAGTATCTGCAAACAGTCTTTTTTTAAGAATAACAAAAATGTTTCTTTTGTTTTTCTTAACAACCCAGACTTGAATGATTCACACTTCATTTTGCTTTTTATACAATTTGTTGTAAAATACCTAAATGACATTCTTCTAATATTTGTAATTACCTATCTTATGCAGGTTTATCTACAGTATTAAAAAAATTTAAGTCTCTCTACATAAAGAAGAGTATTACTAGTCTATGTACTGCAGAGGATGTGTAATGTGTTACAAGTTTACATCACAGAAACAATAGAGAGGACTCAAGGGGACACTTTTCAACAAACTGTCTAAAAAGCAAAATAAAAGACAAATAATTCAGTTGGGTTGTTCTGGAAAGAAAAAAAAAAAAACCACCACAACGGCAAACACGATAGAGACCATACTACCATTTCCAAATTAGAAGTCATTCCATTCTGTAGACCTTTTTTGCAGAGCTACCACAGGTATGGTTCAGAAAGATACTTAAACACCTGCCTAAGTCAAAGCATCAGACGATGCCTTCCCTAGAGTTAGATACAGACTGAAATGTGCTTCGCTGAACTAGCATGTCTTCAGCCAAACACAGACTTCAGGTTAGTGAGAGCTAGAATATTTACCAAAGAAGCAGGGAGACTAAAAGGGCATTTCAGTTAGTTGCCAGGCACAACCTGTGCCTCAGGATGCTTTCAGAAAAAACGAAGGCCATGTACCCATGGGAGATGGAAGACAGCCTCATGCAAAACAGCACCATGGGGTTGGCACTGAGGTACTTACTACAAGGGTGGAGCAGAGACACTGACTTAGAGAGTGAAAGAGCCTGAAGGAGGGATCGACCACTGTTCGTGAGCACACCATCTACAGAGCAGGGACAAATCCTTTACTGGTACAGCCTGGTAATACCTTCTTGAATAAAAGCAGGCAGTTGTTTAAACCTGAGCATACTGAAAAGCTTCCATCAGAAACGGATAGTGATTTCCCACTTTTTTCTCATACTTTGTGCAAGAAAGACCGTCCTGTTGCCATCCTGCATTCAACTGCTTTGGCTTACGTTTCTTTGCAATGTACAAGGTCAGCAGCACCTCCCTCCTGCACGGCTAAGCCCTGGACGCAATGGCCAAAGCACTGACACCTTTGGAGGGGGAAAGGGCAGGTTTTCAGTGCGCAGACACCTGCAGAGACCCAGACCCAATCCCGCTACAGCCCGCAGAGATCAGGATCAACCAGCTTCTTGGACCAAGCTCTTGGGCTAGTCCCGTAGCCAGATGTGAGCACAGCTGTGCCTGCCCCACACAGTAATCACCACTGCCAGGTGCCAGACACTCTGTTCAATGCTCCTGTCCCCGCAAAACGCTGGCAAGACAAGGGACGAGGCAGGAGATGCTGGTGGCAGGGAAGGAACAGCAGGAACCTCAGCAGACCACCACCCTCCCTCCCAGCAGCACACTGCATCTGCCGTGCGGGCTGCAGAACAGCCCGTCTCCCAGGCATGGACAGGAAAGCATCTCCACCTTCTCCACAAGACAGGTAAAGGACCAGCACCAACTGTCCCAGGAGGAAGGGGAGAGAGAATGAGCAGGACATCACCCAAGCCCAGGTCAGGTCAGAGTAGGTAATGGTGTCAGGATGAAGCTTAACGGGCTGACACCAACAATCCCTTGGCTGCAAGGTCAAAGGAATTCTGTTGTAATTTCAACACCACACTGCTGATCTGCCATTCTCTACTTCTGTGACATGCTTCCCTCTTCCTTCTGCCTTGTTTTGTCAAAGACTTCTCACCTAATCTGTTGGATACAAACGTTTACAAATACATTAAGAGATGGGGAAAAATACAACACAGCTGCGCACCGCAGGCTGCAATACATACTCCTCCTTACCAGGGGACACAAAATCTTACAGTGAATTTAGACAACCACAGACAAGTTATTCACTGCACTGTTTAACACAGTTTCTTAAGGAAAAAAAAGATGTCTGCAGTCACTGTATGTCTGCCCATCAGTTTTCTCCATCTCAATCCCCAACAGCTTTTGAATTTGTTAACTGGTTTCAAAGTTAACGGTAACATTTCCACAACTTTTGCGTGTTTTCACATTCAGTGTCATAGAATCACAGAATGGTCTGGGTGGAAGGGACCTTCAAAGATCACCTAGTCCAACCCCCCTGCCATAGGCAGGAATACCTTCCACTAGATCAGGTTGCTCAAAGCCTCATCCAACCTAAACTTGAACGCTTCCAGTGACAGGGCATCCACAACTGCTCTGGGTTCCATCCCATCTGGTTCAATCTAACTCACATCTTGCTCAGGACTAGTGGAAAGCTAACAGGAGGGAGAGACAACCTGGAAGTATGGCAACAGACAGGGTTATAGCGACAGAGGCCAGGTCTCTTGAAATGCAAGTGGTTTTTAATTGATGTGATCTGTATGAAAAGCACAGTATTGCTTTGCATGGTTTTCAAATACAACCCATACCCTCACTGCAAAAAGTGTGGGTTTTCTACTAAATATCAAACTACATGTCAAGAAATAAAGCATGTTGGAAACAATTTGTAAAAAATTACAAGCTCTTGGAGCTGTACCTCTGGTTTCACTTGATGGAGAGGGTCGTTTTTGCTCCCCAGCCTTGGAGATAATAGCCCATCCCTGTTTCAGTGATTGCCCAGGATCTACAAGAAGCTGGGGCCATCTGCCCTGTGTGATGCCTGTTCTGCGTCCTCCTCCTGAGCTTCCTCATGGTCTCTGATGGGCACCCAGTGGGAGGCTGGGGTAATCATCTTCCAAAAAGAAGATTACTGCCCTTGCCTGCTTTACTTTGTCTGACTAATGCTCTCCCAGTTTGTGTGCCCTCACGAGGATCAGCTGCTCTATCACAGGAGGACATGACAGGGCAGTAGGCAGGAGAAGAGTGAGAGACAACGGTAGGGCTATATGAAGGCAACCAAACCCTGCTTCCATGCATGTTGGCAAAGTCTGTGTACAGGACAGGCCTGCGTAAAGCCATCAGCACTGGGCTGAAGCAGGCAGGCATGGGCTGAAGCTGGGCAGGTGCAAAGCCAGAGCACTGACCTTCATTCAAATCCCCAGCTGTGAAGTCCCGAGGAATGCGAGGTCTTCCTAATAAACCTTTGGGCGAGGAGCAGGAATAGGAGCGTGACCGAATCCCAGACACTGTGCATTCCTACAATTGCAGCAAATTAAAATTTGTGTCATTTTGAAATGCATCAGAAACAGAAACAAAATAAATCAGAGACAGAATTTCTGAAAGATGGCTGAACACACGCACACATTTTCTTGGCTCCATTAAAGCTTTTAAGTTGAAGTATGATTTTTGACAACTTCATCTGAATTCTCAAGAAGTCTGTCATATTTCCACCATGCTACATTTTTGTGTATTACAGGAAATAATTTGTGGGTACAAGTTAGACTAAGAAAATGCTTACATTATTCTCCAGTTTGGTGGCAAGCACCATCCAAACAGTGTTGCTGGCCATTATATCTGATGACCAAGCTATCTTCTTTTACCAAGGGAACCATTAACCTTAGTACTTTAATACCTTAAGAACATCTCATGTATACTAACACCCTGCCTTGGTAATTATTGATGTCAGAGTTTCCAAAGAAAGGAGTTAGCCTCCTTCTTTCTTCTCTCTGCGTTTTTTTTTATTGTGCCTGAAAAGAATTTCTCATCTCCAAATATGCCAATGATAAGGCTTGAAAGGAAACCCCCTGATTTTTGATACATCATTTACTTTTCAACAGAGCAAACTCCTGAACTGCTTACCTCATTGTGTTTAAAAGTAGCCCTAACAGAATTCAGTGTTTGTGCTGGACTTTTTTTTCTCACTTCATGTAATCATTTGCCAAAGGTCAGATAAAGCTCTAAAGTGGCAAGAAGCCTAATAAAATCATGAAGAATCCCTAGGAACAAAAAGTAACTCTATGCAAGTGCCTGAAGATCTCAGAAATGGCACCATGGTCTAATGAAAATGAAGCTAGCCAGGATACTTTAGAAAACCATAATGAAGAGGAGAGATTTGCACTGGTCAATGCACAAAACCCAACTGAATTTCCCCTGAATCTAGCAATTGTTTTAAAACAGGCAGCAGGCTGTTTTATACTTTACAAAGCTGTTACCCTTTCACATAACTACAGCTGGTTAAACATTTCCTCACTAAATATATTTTCTTTAGAAAACCTCAGGTTCAGTGAATCAGCATATTTCCTTTGAAACACTTCTGATAAATGATGCTTTTTTTAAAGCTGGAGTGAATCTCCAATGGACTTTTCCCATTGCTGCTGCTGATCCCAGACACAATTGAGGAGCTCCAGCTCCACAACCTTGTGTGTGCTTGTCTCCAGAGGGACTAGCACTGCCAGCTGGGAATGCATTTTTCCCCTTCAGATTCAGATGTTTCTCACATGTTTTCAGTGATATACTTAAAAGGAAAACAATGCAAACCAAGAGTGTATCAAATACCTTGGGCTGCAGACTGGTAGGTAAGTCTAATCCATCTCTGCTACAAGCCATGGCCTCTGAAGAGCTGAGGGGAGCATAGTGAACATGGGATCTGTCTGAAACACCTCCACTTCCACCGTCTACTTCAAGGTCATCGAGACTTGAACTGAAGCGTACAACAAAGTCTATAATTACTATGAATTCTAGTTACAATCCATCTCAACCTTAATGCAACATGCAAAGATACTGCTGTATACACTGACCAATGACAACGCAAACCACCACGATTATGTCAGGTAAGTCATGCTCTGAGTACCCTCTCAGGTTTGCAGTCACCTGGTCACGGTCAGTCACTCTGTACAGGACTCATCTGACCCAACCTCATGGATCTGCAGTACAGTCGTGCATCGCCCACGATCACACAGACTCCCATCACAGTCAGCCACCTCTGGAGGATGATTTTCAGACCCATGTTCAGCACCTCCCTTAAAAATGTCATGTTTTGTTCCACATATGTACCTGCCTCTCCACATAAATGATAAGGAGAACTGAGACAACCAGCTCAGATTTCAGTATTAAGATACGTGGGTATATACGGATACTTTGTGGGCACGTGTATTTGAAAGATATGACGTGGCTATTCACAGACATCTTTTTTTCTACATCTGTGACTTGATGGAGGATGGAAGAGAAAACTAACAAGACAGATGAAGGTGGGCCTGAGACCATTTTTGAGATTCATTCCAAAAGATATAAACTTAAAAACATACAGGACTATAAACAGACTGAGAAAAATCTCTGTCTAAATCAATACCCCAAACACCTAAAGGCTACTTGATTCGGGAGGGTTCCTGAGAGGAAGAGCACAGTAAGGTTTCTCAGCAGTACCAGGATTTCCCGGGATGGATCCCATTAGCTGCAAGAGCAAGTTCATGGTCTCTTCATCAGAGTGACTGGAAGGAACGGTTGACTGCTTGCAATAACATTCCAGCCTTACAACATAAAACTTTCAATTATGTGTGGTATTTCTAAATAGCCAGAGTCCCTACCAGGAATAATAGCACAATAATTCCTTCACACACCACTACAATTCACTTTGTTGAAGGGCAAATCTATCAATACTGTCCAAAACTACTTCCTTGTTACACTTCTGAAGACCTAGACCATCTTTCGTAATGTTTCCTAGTAATAGCCCATGTGTTATCTCAGAAACAAGTTATTTAACTGCATTATCAGTTACTGTCATATTTTAAAATTGGCAAAGCAATATATGTCTATGTCAATAGACAAGCATATGTGTTTTACTGGGGGTAACTTACACGGGGAATTTTTCTGACATAAAAAGCTGGTTTAGAGATCTGCTAAGTAACTTGCCACATCACCTCAGATACTTCAAAAAAGGCGTTGCTGGGATTACATATTGATAGTATCATTTTATGTGTAATATTTGGATCACTTATTGTTGACATATTAAGGTCAATCCCATCTCTCCGAAAATTCATATAAGCTCTTACAGCTCACGTACAGGGACCTGACTTAGGTCTTAAAAAAAGGTGGAAACATCTAAAAATACACAGAAGAAAAATGCTTATGACAGAAAGGCAGAAGAAGACTATTTCTAGTAATCTACATGATATCTCCATAGCTAGTAAAAATAAAAGGTTTGCGAAAGAACAACTCCTAGTCTCACATTTATTGTCTTATTTGTATTAAGGTTCCTCCTAGTGAGACTTCATAGTTGCATAAGAAACTCAGAATTAAGGCAGAGAAAATGTTATTGCCCCTTCAATCAACAACGGACAGACACTACTGCTTCCTTACTGTTTTTACATAGATATGATGCCATACCTCCAGCTAGTCCAAACACTCTTAAGAGGTGGGAGACAGATTCAAATTTCCTCCTGTACAAGGAGGAACTGATTTCATGCCTCTTCTATCCAGAGAAGCCTGGACAGATGTCTCTTCTTATCCAGAGAAGCAATAAAGCCTTTTTATAAAGGAAATCTACTAATTATTAAAAACTTATATAAATAATTAAAAAATTATTTAAAAAAATTATAAATTCATCTTCAAAGCCCTCTGCATTCCTGAAGCCAACCAGTTCACAACACAACCTAAAGCCATGTGGAGGAGTATCCTCAGACTGCTCTGCTGGCAGCAAACCTGCGTACCAGCAAAAGAGCACAAAAACAGTCTGAACTTATCAGAAACATGAGCTGTACTCTGTAGTATGTCTTTTGAGGTAAAAAAATATATGCAAGTAAGTCGGTCCTTCTACAGGCTAGTGCAAAGAATGGAAAGATTCCCAGAGTTCAACAGATTTTGGACTATTTTCTTAATGGAAAATACAACTGAGGAAAACTAGGGTGAAATTCTGGTTTCTGACAAAAATGACACAATGGAAACTCTTACAGTGAACAGCTGATTCTGGTTTTTTTTTTTAAAGAACACATACAAGAAAAAAGGTATAAAAGTACAAATTTGCATTAAAAATTAATTTACTTAGAGGACACCTTTTATTTGTTAAAAATGTCTTCATACCTATTTTATGAAAACAGATCATTAAGACAATTTATATATCAGTGATTGAAAACAGTGACTTTACTGCAGTAATATTATTTATTACTCCAGATTCTGCTCCATCTTTTGAAATAAAAGGTCATCATAAATAATCCTTACTCTGGCCAGATCATCAACTCAATTCCATACCTTCTTTTTTTCACATCAGCATACAGTTGGCCCCGATCCTTAATAAATCCGTGGGTCTTGAATGGAAGGTATGAATCTGCTCCATACAGATCAGAAGGTGAAACAGTATGTCTTAAACCTGCATTTTCTCCATTTTTCATTGACCTTTCATTTTCTTCATTTGGAACATATACATATTGGTCATTCTCCTCAAGGGAGGGAGAGGAAGAGCTCTTAGCCATCAGGATTGAGTTGGTGGGATTCAAATATTCACTGCTGACACCATCTCCATGAACATAGTTAGTCTTTAAATCTCCAGCCTACAGAGAAAAAAATGAATGCTGGTAAGAGGCAGTAACAAGATGTATTGTCAGGGAACAAGGATCAGACTAGTTTACCATTTTATTTATGGTTATATGTTTTGCCTTCCCCCACTCCCCCATTGCTTTTTACAGCACATGAATTGAAAGCAAGTTATACGGCTAAGATATTTGAGACCTTGCATTACTTTTTTCCATAAATAGAACAGCAACGAATTGGTATTTGGAAGTCTAATGGAATTCTCACTCATGTTTATACCTTTTGTTAAATGTTTCAATTCATATATTTATAGCTTTGATTAAAAAAATATCCTTAAGTCAAGCAAAAAATATGCATAACATATCACTGTGAGAGACATATGGAGAGGAATTCAAAGACTGTGCAATTTAATTTAGAAAAATCAGCCTACACATCAATGCACTTTTAATTTTCCAGCACAAATTTTCTAAGCTTTGAGATGAAGACACATGACCTGGAACAGAGGTTCTCCAGGGGAGGAAGGGAAAGGAATCTTTATTTTTTGCCATTAAGCAATTATGGACATGAAGAACCCCTTCACTTGCACAAAGACAGGAATGGAGTTGGGAATTATGTTTTCTCAGGTATAGGGATCAGGATTTAGTCCCTGGTAATAAATAATTCTTTGTGCAGCTGAGGTTGAATTCTCCTGTCAACTCTGCAGAGAATATTAAAATACAGTTTATTGTCAGTCTTTTAGTTAGATGCTACTGTCATCTATTTAGATGCTGAATAATATTGAAAAGTCACATCGCCACTGAAAACACTCAACTTCCAAAAAACACCTGTATAAAAGCAAGAAGAAAGGAAGCGTCTCCAAAGCCATGGCCTTTCAGATTGCGGACTTCCTCCTCTCCAGCCCCACTTGAGATATGTTTTCACCCCCATTGTAATGATGTTTCTCTTCATAAAAGACAGAAAGAACTGCTGGCATTTTTACAGCAGCCCATGTCTGCATTCAAAGATTCGGCACATGCAAGTCTGGAATTACTTTTGTTGCGCTGTGCAGATGAGATGCACGAAGGTAAAATGCTTCTCCCAGGTCTTACACAGCTCTTCCCCCCTTCAAAGTTATTCCTGCCCAGGCAGCAATTCCCCTCCGCACCAGAGGCACCTCCTCCAGCAGCCGCTCCAGCTCCTGCTGCGTGGTGCTTAGCGGGAGAATTTGCCTCCAATCAGCAATTTAACAAATTTGCATGCGGTTCGGTATTGAGCAAAGGTTCGTAATCCAAGTTGAAGGACCCCCCCCAGCAATATACCCAGGCAATATCCACATCCGTAACGCTTCTGCAGCTCTGTCCTTCCAACCATTGTTAAAGTCAGGGGTTCACAGATTGCATATATAGACCCCTGCCAGCTGCTTGCTCCTAGGTCATTATTTCACGCATCTTTCAGTAACCTTAGGTGCATTTTGAGCACGCTGGCCTCTGGCTGAAACTTCCGCCTCAGTTGTCACAATGAATCAGACCTGCAGTGAACGCTGTGGCTGAAGTGTTTCAGGGAATGGGGAAAAAAAAAGGGGGAAGGGGCAGAATCACACTTGCAAAATCTCAGTCTTCTCCTAACATTATGATCTCATAATTTCTTACTCCTATATTCCAACGTTCACGCCAGGGAGAAGCCACAGCAGGTTACAAATAAAGAAATCACTTCAACCATCACTGAAACATAGCTACGTACCATCAGAATTTGGCCGCTGCTTAACTACACACAACCGCTATACACAAGAGTTGTACTAGTCCCCCCTGCCCAAGTTATGGTATCTGAGGGTGACCATGAAGGAGAGATTTCAGGTGCAACATGATGATATAAAATATGATTTGGTCTGGACACTCCAGCTCATCTCAAGATGGTGAGAAATATATCAGAAACACGAATACTAAGTCAGGTTCTCTAGTATTAGAATGCTCCATGCCAGTTGTAGGTCATGGACTTCACCTTCTCAGCAGTATCACATTTTTGTTGAGCCTCTAAGCTTAGCTATGAGCTTATAATTAATTTCTAAAATTAGCCAGCATCAGCAAATTCACCTCTTTTGTGAACGTAAGAATTCAGAAAATCTGAAGTGCACATAAACAAGTTACATAGTGTTAATGTTTCTTAGAAAGAAGCAATGCAATCTAGCTCACAAACACACAAGGAAGACAGTAAGAGCTGCCTTAGAGTTCTCCCTACAGACTAGGAAGAATAATTCCTATCATCAACTGAATCTGTTAAAAGAGGCCTCATAAACGGGTTACAAACTACAGCTGAGAAGTGTGAGGTATTACTGGTTTTATTTTAGACCTTTATTAATTGGCCACACACCATTGCTGACAGATCCAGAAGATCCTACTATCACATAACAGAAGATGATGAAAAAAATCCCAAAAGTTCAAACATAAGCTTACTTGGTCTACTACCATGCAGTTTGCATATACTTCATCACTTCCACTCAGCATGGCAGAAAGTCTGGTTGCAGCAAAGAAAGTAGGTGGAGCCTTGAGTTTCCTGAGAACATCAAGGGTAGAGTGTCTCTGCTCTGGAAAAAAGAAATTGTGGAAGATATGCCATTAAATCTCAAACCATTTTCTTCTCATGTATATATGCTGTCATAAAAATGGCAAAGTTAAACATTAAGCATCAAATCTTAGGATTACAATTTGAGTAATATTTGTGTGGCAACCCAAAAATCTGCCCATTTTGTAATTGCCTCACTTGCTGTATGTGCCAAGAAGCCTATAGTTGACAAGCCTCTAAAAGGTACCACAGAATCATTCATATAACTTAAAAATAAGTGTTCCTGTATCTTGGCTAGCAAAACCTTCTATTTTCCACCTAAGCTAGTACTCTGTAGAGATCTGTGGTTGCAAATGTACATAGGACAAGATTTATGGGCTGGGATTAAATATGCATGATTCTGACCTATACATTAAATACCTAACATCTGATACATTATATAAATGGAATACTGTTCAACTGCAGCCAAATAAGGACTCTCCTAAAGCACTCTACCTACTAGAAGCAACATAAATACTAATCTTAAACCAATAAAGCAGATTACTGTTCTTGGAAAAAAAACAGCAACAAAATTGTAAGAGGGATATAAATAAAACACCACTGATAGTGCCTTTATAGACTGACAGCAGTCAATCAAGATTTGACCCATGAACAACACATTTAGGATAAAGACTGCATCTCATCTGCTTTTGGTACTGAAATGAGAAATTACCAGTTTCACCAGAAATCATTAACAGAAATTCAGAGTTTAGTTTTCAATAGTGTGTCCGTGACTGCAAATATGGTAAGAAGCTGCACTTTATTCCATGGCTTTGAGCAGCAGAAAACCTAACCAAGTGCTACAGAAACACTGTCAATCTGCCCTGCAGGCCCACGTCTCTTAAAGCTGCTTATAAGTATGAAGCGTATGCACCAATCCAGCACTTGAGCTGGTAGTCAAGGCCTCATATTATCTTCTGATTGTAAAAGGAGCAAAATTTGAGAAAGCAGAAACCAATCTTCTTCTAGGTGGTGTGAAAACAGGCTTAAACAAAAAAATCACAAGTTGTAATTTCCTTATTTTATGATGCTGCAAGTCAAACATTGCCACTGGAAGTGAACTGAGGTAGACTAGCATAAGAATTATGTGATAGAGAAAGTTATCATACCAAGCAAAATATCCGAAATCAAAACTCTCAATGAACTTAACTCCAGTTTGTCTGTTATTGAAAATTATGCAAAAAATCCTTCTTAGTCTGCATCAGAAATTTACTTTCTGCAAAGGTGAAAAGGAAAAGGTACCACTAAAGACTCTCCCCAGGCTATATTGCTAAAGTAATGTAACTGCTTTTGGTAGATCACAGAATCATATAGCATGGTTTGGGTTGGAAAGGAACTTATTTAAATATCATCTAGTCCAATCCCCCTGCCATGGGCAAGGACATCTTTCTCTAGATCAGGTTGCTCAAAGCCCCATCCAAGATGCCTATTGCCATCAGACTGCAAGAAAAGTTGTAACGAAGAAATAGCACTGGATTAGAAACCACACTTACCAAGGCCTATGGCATTTGTTCCTTTGGGAAAAACAAAACAAAACAAAAAAGCTCACAGACCATTGCCAAAATTGCAATGCTACACCACAGCTTTTATTTAATTTTAAGAGGCTATCTCATAAAGCCCAAGAACAGTAAGCTCTATACTTAAGAGAAAACTGGAAATTCTCATTTAGAAATGGCACACTATGAATTATTTGGTTTCTAGTCCTGGCAGGCCTTGTGGGATCTCATACCATTAAAATATCCTTACGCTTCTCATTTTGCTTCTTCCTCCTTCAAGAATTTTAACGTGATTTTTGTGACTGCCATCTTGAGAACCGCTAAAGCTACAAACCACTTCCTCACATCTGTCAAGATCCCAAAGCCTTTGTTTATAAATGGTATAAAAGCATTGTTTTCTACAGCAGTTCATCAGAATTTGGCAGCTAAAATCATATGGAAATGTGATTTGGCAAAACTGGCAGTACTTTCTTGCGGCAAGTAAAGCTGCGAAAGGGATGGTCTTAAACTAACAACAGGAAGAAAAAAAAGTCACGCTTTCCATTGCTTCTTGTACATTTATTATTACCTTCCCCAGCACGCACTCACTCCTGTATGTAAATCCCCTGGGTACAACTGGCACGGGCGGTATTCGGCCCCAGTGCTAGGCTGCAAAGGTTTGATACACACCCCTGAAAAACAGCCCAGGTGTTAGGGATTCCCAAATCACGGCGTACACCCAAGCCTATGGAGACAGTTTCTTGACTACAGCAACAGTCCCCACTGCTGAGGTCTCTACAGTCAGCTAATGGACTCCGCTACGAATTACATGTCCCGAGCCAGGAACAAGAAAATCCCCCTATTCCTTCACATTTTTTACTTACATAGCAACTTTTAACACCAAATTTTACATTATTTTAAAATTCTGTAAAAGACTAACAACCTAAGTAACAATTTCTGAAGAAAACCACTGCAACTACAAGAAGATATATCAGAGTATGTTATCTGCAGTGCTTTCCATCAATAAATCTGTATTATCACTGACAAATGCCGTATGTTTTTCTGGCGATGTTCTGGTCAGTCTGTTGTTAAAGGTGAGATGTCTGAATACATATTCATTGGGGCTTTAAATGAACAGACAAAAGGTAGCAGGTTATTTTGGGCTTCATGTTGCAATATGACCCCACTGTACCTCCTTACTCCCACTCTGCCCCCCAGTTTCAAACATGCATGAAGGGACCACTACATCAAACTAACTTTGTAACGAGAGAAGTATTTCAAGACTTTGCTGAACGCAGGGGAGAGCATCATTAATTACACATTGACTGTGCTAGTAACTTATTTCCACTGGACAAGTCCGCATAGTTTAAAAAGTGACAAAACCATCACAAACGCCCAGATCACACACTGCTTGCCTACACCCCCACTAATTGCCTCCAGCCTCCCTCGCTGGCTACAAGTCATCTGGATCTTATGGGGACCATTAGCAGACCTTCCTCCAGGTTAACGTGGCAGCAAGCAATAGCTTGCTGCACTGGGTACCAGTAGCAATACGCAGCAAAGCTGTCCTTGCCTGGAAGATGAGGAATAGCAACAAAATGTGTTTTCAAACAAAAACGTCTCGAAAAATCTCCCCCACCCATTCGAAATGCTTATTCTCACCGCAGATGCAAAACTTCAGCACAGCTTATGGGAAGACAGGTAAGAGTACCAGGGGAAACTGGCACTTCTTGTGGGAGTAAAGGTGCCCCACAGAGTTTTAGCTGTGAAAGTCACTAATGGACTTCAAGATGCTTACTTTGGTAAAAATGACCCAAACACCACAGAGCTGAGTTGCTCTGGTACTGAAACAACGCAGCAAGCACAGCTCACCAAGCTGATCCCCCCGCTAGAACTGAACGTTCTCTGGCTGTACACTGTGCCATGGCCACAGAAGAAGAAAAAAATAAAAGCATGTCTCCTTTAGCCGAGGCTGTGGCTCTCTGCCATCTGCCTGGTAAACAGTCGAGAAAGATGTATGCGTTATTTAGATGTAGGTGAACAAAAGGCACAGGGCTGGGAAGCATAATCTCCAAACATGGATAAAATAAAAGACCTTGACCAATGAATAACGAGGCACAAGTTCTCTACATCTTCTCCCATGTTGTCATCAAAGTTATACAGCAAACGCTGCTCGTGTTACCAGGCACAAAAGTTTATAAAAATACTTCAACTTTAAAAAAAAAAAAAAAAAAACACAATCATCACAGCAATAATTCAAAACATGCTTTATGCTGGCATATGAAAATGTATAGCCTTGAATGACCTGTGTCAGAAAATGGCAAGAACATAACACTGACTGTTTTTCCACAAAAATCAAAACTTAAATTGTTCTATGAGACAGCACACAGCAGAAGATGAAATACATCAATGTGAGCAAGCTGAAAGCCAGGAAAAAAAATTACAAATTCCCTTCTCTAGATACGATGAATAGTTTTCAGACATCACCACATTTACCCCCAGCAATCTGAGCAGGGGTTAATGTTTAACTGAAGTAACAGAGCTATGAAGTCAGCGAAAAATGCAGGCAGTTAAGTGCATGGATCACGCAGGACTGCCGAAATACTCCTGTAAATGCAGAAGCGGTCACCTGAATTTGGAGAAAGAAGTCCACACATTCTTGGTGAGGGGCTGACCAAAGTGACATGCATGTCTGTAATGTGTGGTCCACATCTAATGGGGCATCTGTATCCCCAATTCAGGTATCTTAGTGCTTCATTCAGACACTGCAACTACTCATGAATGCAAAATTAAGCAAGTACGTAAGAATAGCGTTACACAGAGGGTAAAGCAAGGTAGGCTTTGAAGTGCTCCTGTCGTAAAGACAAACATTTAACTGTTCTAAATCTATAGAGTAGAAACCAAAGCATTGCATTTCCTATATACTACATGGAGAGGATCAGGCATCTGGGTGCTAGAAATCAGACCATCATGTTCAAGATGTGGTCCTAAAGTAGCCACTAAGAAACACTGAGGACAAAGGCGCTCATCAACCACTGACTTTGATCTTTGTCACCTAAACGTGAGACATGAGAAAGCATCCCTTTCCAACCTGGGATTCACAGCCCTGACCTCCCTCCCTGGAGCAGGCACCTTGCCTACTATACAAATAAATATACAAACACAAATAAGTTGCTATTTCATTTTATACAACAGCACAACAGATAAAGTACTTTCCCAAGACACAGGATGCTTAGTTCCAATTCCCACCTCTGCCCAAGTGGCCTCGGCACGTGACTCCCACCTCCCCACAGAGTGGGACAGGCTTGTCAGAGACAGGTATCCTCAGCACCCCTGAAGGTTGTTTTAACGCCTCCAAAAAGGCTCTGAGAGTCACTGCACTGTCCTGCAGGCAAGGAACAAAATGTGGACCCCCTCCCCAGCCCAACCACTAAAACACGGTCGTGTTCACATGCTCTGTGGAGCCTAATTAACCTTCAATCATGCCGTGCACAGGCAGCCGCAGCAGGAGGGAGGGAGCCTGCAAGGCACGGCCCAAAGGTGTGCAGGCTGCCCTTGGCTCCTGCCAGCCCCCCGGAGTTCAGGGGGACGGACGGGGCTCCACCACCTAGGCTGAGAGCAGGGACAAAAGCTGGCCTGGGGACACACAGGGAACCTAAAATCTGGGAATGCTGATGGGTATGTTGCAAAGTGGGGTGGGTGAGACTTTCCGCTTTGGACTCTGTCAGCGGAGGTTTGCGGAGCTCCCCTTGCCTCCCGGGGGGAGCAACCCCAGAGCAGGACACCAGCAGCCTGCTGTTTCGGAGGGGAAGGGAGGAGGTTGACATTTCATTGCCCAGATCAGCTGGAGCACCCAGCGCAGGTACCCAACGATGACCTCATGACTTTCGGGGTGGGGAGGAAGAATCCCGCTCCGCTTCCCATCGGGCACTACAGGTCTCTTGTTCACCGAGACCTGAGCTCCCGCAGGAGGGAGAGGCACCCGTGAGGTATGTGCCCCACACCTGCGCACCAGGACCAACTGTCCCAGTTCAGGTACTAACAGAAAAAACAAAAACACACAGATCGCGAGCGTAGATCCTGAGCCTGCTGTCCCCTTGCAGAGGTGCTTCTCCCACCCCGTCGGCAGCCAGAATTTCAATTCCCCAAGCACAACTGAATCCTAGGACTTTACCACTAGAACATGTGCAGGCACTCAAGAGCACGTTCTTCCTCCAACAACCCCACATACATGTCAGCTGTGCATACAAGCCACATGTGCTGGTATACTATTAACAGGGATGGGAAACAAGACGCAATACTGAAACATGCAAACACTAGATCTGCATACAGTGCTTTACAACAGGGGAAGTATTAAAAAAAAAAAGGCTGTCTAAAGATAAAATAAATAACAACAGCATTAGTGCTACGGAGGATGGCTGTGCAGCTACAGCATTTACAGATAAGAGTCCTCATGAGAGATGTAAAGAACACACACCATGCAACTTGCAACCCATTTCATCTTCTTTGCAAAACGCATGTTCCTCCATACGCATTGCAGAAACTCCTATGCACTTGGGAAATACTAGATTTCCCCATGAATAAAAGTAAAAAGTTCATAAAGTGTTCTGCACGTTAAGATGTGCATTCTGTACACATTTTTTACTCTAAAACTAGGTCAAAGTCTCAGTCTGTGTAAACATGATTCTCCTGGCTCACTGACTTTAATGACACTGATGGATCTTACTGCTCTTACTTGTTTTTTAATCCCTTTCTCAAACACACAAAAGCAATTTTATGCAAGGAAGCACAAATTAAATTTTTTGCCATTCTTTCTCTTCATTTCTTTGCTTTAAGATGTAGTAAAAATTTATCTGTCCTCATTAAAGCTTTCAATGAGAGCTCTTCCTAACATAAACGTGCTGGTCAGTGCCTTTCAACCTCCTTAAAAACCCCTTTATCATACTGACAACATTTATAATGCTTACCTCCCAAAGACTTTTCCACAAAGGAGGGCAGTGTCTAACTGTGCAAAGACAGTAACTGACCCTGCCACCAAAGAGAGTAACTGACCCTTTGGCTTTCTTTCACAGAAAGCAAAAAAGATTTCCCGCTTCATTCTGGTAAGATTTTTGTACATAATATAAAAAAAAAAAAAAAATCCTGTTAGCTGTTGAGGCGTATTTGAATTACCAAATTCTCTCTGAATGAAAACAACTGTAACCAGCAGAGCTTTCTGCAGCCGCTGCCGTGCTGTGCAGCTCCCAGGGCACCAGAGCTTCTCAGTGAGAGCTACACATGCAACCAGAAGGAAAAAAAAGCTCTAACAGAGTAAAGAAATAAAAACTACTTTAAAGAACAGTACATAATGTGGAGAAAACACTTTCTTCTTGCTTAACAAATTCCAACACCATTATCTACAAAAGCATAACTAACAGTGAGGTAGAGTTTCAAGAGAAAACAAAAGCATGCGAGCTGTTCATAGCCACCTGCACACAACCAGACAATGAAAAGGAGGCAGAGCTATCAAGCAAGAGTCACTTAAAAGACGACAGCTTTTTCTACCTGGTTTGGATGCCCTTCTTCGAATCCTCATTTTAGGCAACGAAGGCCAAGAGTAATTAAAAGGTGAATCAGAGTCTGAGTCCATTTTTGTGCTAAATAAACAGAAAGCAGATTCCCAAAGTTGCACTTTGTTGTTCTCAACAGCAAGTCAAGTCTAAGAGTGATGTAAAATAAAGGAATGGACAAAGAAGGATCAAATTGCCCACTAAACACAGGGGAGGGAGAAGCTGCAAATGTTTGCTCTCTTCAGGCGTCCAGGCATGTAGACAGATCAGGCTGCAAATATTAAGGCAGAAGCAAGGAGGTTAAAGTATGAGAGCTTCGAGTGGAGCTGTTGCATCGTGGTCCAGAGCTATTTGAAAGGTCACTGTGTGCCAATGAATCATTAACTCACCTTTCCATTTTGATGTAAATGAAAACAATAGGAGCCGAGTAAGGAATGAGAAAATACATCTCAAAAGTAAACAAACTATTGCAAGCTTTTTCAAAGCTTTGTTTCAAAGTTAAAAGTGGGGTTTACAAGGACTCTCAAATTAAGGACAGGCAAAATGCTGGAGTTAAAGAAGCCAACTATTAACAGTAAGCTAAAAGCACGAATCAATCTGCTGGACTCTATATTACTGCAGAGCAATACCTCTTCTCCCAGTATTTACAACTTTGGCAAGACCTCGGGATGCTGCAGCTGGAAAAGTAGCGATAACCCACTCAAAATCTGTCACTCCCATCTTTCTAGCTCAAATGAGCTTAAAGCTTAAGTGTTATAAAGAAAGATTACACTGTCATTAGAGGAGCTCTTTTATAATATTTACTCTGAATAGTATTTTCTCCTTCACACAGTAACCAAGTTAGACAGTGAATCATAAGGATTTTGTAGAGCTGGCACCTCTACAGCTCTGGTTTAACCTCACGGCAACGCACAATACAGCTAGTGACTAATTTACAACAAATCCTCCATTCTTACACAGTCTCCCTGAACAACTCATAGGCAATTAGTATTCAGTAGGAACTCATTACCCCTTCCCCCAACATCTTTACACTACACAAACTACATTTTTTTTAAACAAGCTCAAATGTGGCTATACAAGAGCTAATACAAAAATAACATGTCCACTGTTTCTTAACCAGCTCCACCAAACATTTCTTTTAGTTACTCCACAATGTATGTGTTTTTGTATTCCACATAAAGGAGGAGAGGCAATGTGGATCAGCTTAAATGTCAGTTTTTGGAAGATGATGACATTTGAGCTTGTTAACATTCCTTACTTCACTTCAATTATTTTTCGGGCTGCTGAGGTCTGCAGCGCTACTTCTGTATTATGTTTCAAGTGATTCCTCAATACGCATTTCAGTCGGTGATAACAACGTATTTGTTGAAAGAAAATAATGCAATTCAAATGCAAATTTAATTCAAAACCCATTAGAAAAATATCTATCACGTTTTCAGGGATAAAATAATTATTATACAAGCACTTCATAAAGTGCACAAATTACATAAAACACAGTTGAAACACATCATTGTTCTGCCCTTCCCTTAACTGAAGTTCTGCCAGCTTTGTTAGGCCTGAAAAGAATAATTCGCCCCAGACGCTGGAAGCCTTAGACTTTCACTTTAAATATTAGGCACTCCCATAGACTTTGTTTGATTTATATATATAATTAACAGCCCCGGGGAATTACAACAGACAATGGATGACTGAAAATACAGAGAGGATATAAATCCACGCTTTAAGCACCCACTACAAAATATCCCCACTCCCTGGAATGTCAGGTTCAAATTGCACTGGTAAATCCCCTGGGCATACGGGAATGCAGGCACTGACGTACACCTTCCCACCTGCACACCATCCAGGGCACTCGCCGGCCTCCCATCGTGGCCACAGTTTGAGAGAAAAGGAAAGGACGCGGCATATTTGTTGCACAACTTGTTCACTCAGGAAATGTCTTCCCAACTGCTCCAACACAAAAGATTTCCCCTCTACGCAGCAGTTTTCCCTACCCAAGCGCGCCGTCTCGCTCATCGGGTGTATTTAATGCCAACCGGAATAAAAGTCTTAATTTCAGACATGTACAAAAGGCAGCATTCCATGGGCGAACAGCAGTTTACATTTAGAGAGAGCTGTATGTTTTACCCTGGCTTTAAAATTTCTCGCCTTTCAATTTTAGCAATCGTTCCTTTGTTCTACCTTATGAGAAACGTCAAATTTTGCTTACTTCTCTGGTATCTCCATTTGTGAATTTTTTATCTAAATTGACCAATTCTGGCTTTTTTCACTTATACATTCAACTAAAATACACTTACTCGCTCCCATCGGTCTTCCGGGACTTCTGTTTAGCCCAGGAAGGGATAACTAGAACTGAACAAAACACTCACAATGCAGAAATGCAGCCGATGTATTTAATGGCATTAAAATATTTTACATGCCGAGACATTTGCTTTCCTGAATGACCTTTGTACGCTGCATAAATGTTTTCATGGGCTGCTCAGTTATTGCCTGCTCCCTCCCTTAAACTAGCAGCATTCATTCAGAACCTTCTAACACAAATGAGTAATTAAAGATTGTTAAATAATTTTTCAACAGCAGCCCTATTACAGAACAGTCAGAATCCAGCTACTAAACTTCTGCGGTGATAAAAACCTGATCATTTACTCCTGCCATTTATCCTCTAATTCTTGGACAAGTTCTTAGGCTTTTCACCTGCTTACTGCAATCTCCCCTGAACAGGATCTTGCACAGGAATTTGTCAATGGTGGTCTAAAAGCGCAGATAAATTATCAACCTTAACTGGTATTTCTTAAGGTTAATTGAATATCACTCACGTTATTTGCTCTGCTTGGGCCTTGTGAAAGATTTTTTTTTTTCCTAGTTTGTAAAACTCCTTTATGCAGCCATGAAAGACTTCACGCTGCTTTTTGCCACAAAGAACGCTTTGCCTTATAGTCTTCTATATTAAATAGAAGAAGAATATTTTTCTTCCCTGTTCTCGCACTTTGTGGGATGATCCAACCCACTTTTCACCTGCCACTCTTTTTTCCAAAGTGGTGGCATTTGCATGCAGCTGGCACAGAGACCTGGCAGCTGAAGAGATAAAAAGTGCTTTCTAGCTGGAAAATATTAACCTTACTTTCCACCGAAAAAATGTTTTCAATTATGTATACCAAGGTATAGATGTGAAGATAAAGAACAAATGGGGTTTTTGCGTGCATTACCTAAGGCTAATGGTTTTGATAAATAATGTAATGCCTTAAATTCCTTCATTCAATGCTTGCCAAAGCACATCCGTATGATATAAATGTTTTTCAGAGATATTACAGTCTATTGTCTATTGTCTGATCGTTCCCGCGGCTCGTGGCAAGACGGAAGGAAGCAGAGGAATGTCACCAGCATCCGCAGTCTCCATAGAACGGCACTGTCGCCTCCTCGGCGCACTCAGAGGACAGCCCCGTGGGTGGTGAGCGGGTGGGCTCCCTCTCCCCAAACACTCCTAAACCATGGGCTGACAGCTCGCTCTCTCGGGCAGACCAGAAGGAGACAACAGCCCTGAGCCCAGTGCCCCCTCCCCAGAGAGAGAAGGGATGCACACGGGATGGAAAGCAGGGCTACTGACCCCAGAAACAGGGCTGGGGAGGGTCGCTGTTGGACACAGGTGAGGTGAGAGCTGCCTGAACAATGATTCTGCCAGAAATGCCCTGCCTAGCTTGCTCTGGGCAGTCTCCCCTGACATTAAGGATGAAATTGATTCCCCCACCTTTCTTCTGCCCCAGGTGCAGCAGAGCCTGCAATCATTTCCCAAAGCTGCAGAGAAAGCTCTGACAAGGAAAGATGGTGTAGAAAGGGCTAGGTGATCTTCTCCACTAGCCCCTGTGACCCACAGGCACACGTGGCTTTCCTACCTTCCTCAGTCTGTTGTCTTCATTGTTTACAGCACATCTTCCCACAGAGGATCAGACAATGTACCTGGACAAAATACCTGCATTGCCCTACATTAGACGTAACAATCATGCTGAAAACTCAGCAAACGTGAATTAAAGACATTTAAATTAAAAGCAGATGCTACCAGCCAGATCCTACACACCAAGCACCCTCCAAACTCCAACGCTCTTGCCGCCTGCCCGCAATGATGACATGATGGCTGTGCAGACTGCTGCCAGCAACCGCCTCACGGGTCTTGCAGGATGCCTTGTCACACGCATTATTTCTACCACCTCTCTTCTCTACCAAAGACCTTGGTCTTTCTTATGAAAGTTTGTACTGGAATAGTGGGAAAAACTTTGCCACATCACTATTCTCCCCCTCTCCCTTTCCCAAATCACAGGGGAAACACTGAAGAACACAGAAGCAAACATAGATCCTTATGATCTTGGCAGATGACCTCCCACACTTGTTTTTATGATCTTCCTTATTGCTAAATTTCTAATGGGTGATTCATGCACTTAGTTTGGGGAACCAGCCCCTTTATATCCCTATTTTGTGAACAGAGACCTGTTGAGGCCTCCCACAAGTAGCACGAGAGTTGGGGATTTAAACTTGTTCAGTAGTGGACCTCAGAAGGCCCAGGCAGGCAGTCACTGCCCGTCATCGCTGCCCAACGTATGACAGCATTCGGTGGATCCCGCCTCTCTCGCTAGCACGCCACAGCAGGCTCCGCATCCCGCATCAGCCGGAGCAGGACCGGGCTGGGAAGGGCAGGGAGCAGGCAGGTGAAGGAGGAACGGGGGATTTTCTTGCACTGCACACTTTCTATTGAAAACATGCCTGCTTTCCACCCTTTCAACCCCGATGAGGCCACAGGTTTCAACAGGGCGGAAGATGGTTAGCGTTCAGCATGGCAGAGCCTCTTCCTCCCACAACCAGTTTAAGGCGGCAGATTTTGCTCTCCCAGAAAAGCGTGGTCGCGGGTGAATTCAGCTATCAAACCTAGGCACGTTCCGACATGAGAGTAAATAGCACTGACCTCCCCAGCCCCCAAACCTCCCGCTCACACCTCCCCTCATGCAGGTCTTCTCCACTCTTCCAGTCAAACAGATGATGAAGAAACCCATGCACACTGGAGACCCCTTTTCTGTAATGAAAATCTCTTATAGAT